CCGCTTTCCTGCTCCTCTGATGCTGCTTGGCCTGCTGTGTTCATCCAGCTCTACACCTTGTTATCTCAGATTCTCCAGCATCGGCAGTTCCTACTATCTCTGAATCGATTCCTTCCCCAAATCCATACTGACTATCCTTAATCCGTATCTGTTCAAGTTCAGTTTTATTCTGCTAGTCAAAATACTTTCTAATAATGCCCCCACCGCAGAGATTAAACTGGCTTGTACTTCCCTATTCTATCCCTTTCTGACTTTTTTTAAAAGTGGGCAACATTACCATGCCTCCAGACCTCAGGACCTCATCTGTAGTTGGAGAGGATTTTAAAATTACTTCCAGGGATCCTAATGTCTCCTCCAAAATCCAGGAGTGCATCTCATTTGGGCCTACAGATTTGACCTCTTTAAGACAGCTTAACCAACTAGTACCTATTTTCTATCTTTGTTAATTTTCTTATAATATTTCGCAGTCTTCTGTCTTGACGTCCATACCGGAGTTGTCTGTATCTTTTGTGTTGTGAAGACCTTGCAAAGTTTTACTGAGGATTCTGTCCACGTCTACTGAGACCATCCAGTATCATCTCTAATAGGCCTTGCTCATTCTCTTTATTTCTGCTCTTTACATCTTTAAAAAAAGACTTTGTATTTTCCTTTATTCTACCTGCCAGTGCTTTCTTAAGCAGTTTTTCAGCTTTTCTAATTTCCTTTTTAAGTTCCTTGCATTTTTTGTACTATTCTAGGGCCTCTGCCACATTGAACCCTGACCTGACCATCTATCATCAACTTTTCTCTGAATCCTATCCTTTATTTCCCTTGACATCCATGGTTCTCCAGTCTTGGACCCTTTTGTTTCTAAGGAACATATTTGCTTTGTATGCTTGCTATTTCCCCTTTGAACGCCTTTCACTGTTGTGACACCATTTTATCTGCATGCAGCTGGTCCAAGTCCACTTTGGCTAAGTCATATCTTAGTAAAATTAGCCTTTCCCCAATTTAGAATGTTTATTCTCAGCCCAATTTTATCCAAAATGCTCCCTGACTGGTACAGTTTTGACCTGCCTGGATTCATTTTTGAATATTAGCTCTAGAACTGCCCCCTTCCTTGTTGAGCTTCCTATGTTGCTAGCCAAAAAAAATTCTCCTCACTGTTGCATAAGAATTTTGTTCTCTACCTACCTTGAGCACTAAAACGTATCCCAGTTAATATTTGGATAATTAAAATCCCGTACTCTATTACTGCCATAGTATTCTTGCACTTCTCTGAAATTTGATTGTATGTTTATTCTTCTATGCCCCCGACTGTGTGGGGCCGATAGTACGCATCCAGCAATGTGTTTGCCCCTTTCATGTTTTTCTTTACTTCTACTCATAGGTTTTTAGAATGGAATCCCTACAGTGTGGAAACAGGCCATTCGGCCCAACAAATCCACATGGACACTGAAGAGCATCCCACCCAAACCCATCCCAGTAACCCTGCATTTCCCAAGGCAAATCACCTAACCTACACATCCCTGAACGCTATGAGTAATTTAGCATGGATAATCCACCTAACTTGCACATCTTTGTACTGTGGGAAGAAACCGGAGCACACAGCAGAAACCCAAGCTGACACGGGGAGAAGGTGCAGACTCCAAACAGGCAATCGCCCAAGGGTGGAATTGAACCCAGGTCCCTGGCACTGTGAGACAGCAGTGCTAACCGCGAGCCACCGTGCCACCCCCATTTGATGATCTTTCCAAGATGTCATCTCTCCTCACTGCTGTAATTGATTCCTTGATCAATGTTGTTTTTAGAAATCGGATTTTAGATTTGCAACCAAAATAATGCATTCTAGTAGTATATAACAAAAATATTTTCTAGCTGGCTTCCAGGTTAAAATATGTGTGTGTCAAACAATTTTATTTTAAGTACCTTTCAATCCATCTCCACAAAGGGATTGATTATTACAGAGGGAGGCAAAGAGGTATAAATCATTCAAATAAAGTTGGTGAGAAAATTCCCCCACAAGAATTTGTGATGTAGGGAGATACCGCCTTCTTTGTATTAGCTCCAAAACGGTTTTTATTTTATTTTCTGTGTGAATAATTATTCTCACAATTGTCTGCTCTTTCTCTATCAGCCACCAGATGTTTTCTGTATAAATATTAATCTAATTCCCCCTTGAAAAGTTACTATAGAAGTGCATTCTGGATCAAATTTACCTGTCTAGAACATCTTCCTCTAGTTTTCTTTGCCAAATAGCTTAGATCTGTTATTGGTTGCAGACAGTTTTGCTAATGGAAATTTGCTTTCCCTTATTTACTAGTTTCAAAGCAGGTCATCATTTTTAATTCTTGCCTTCAGTTCCCCCATATTCTTCTCTGCTGAAGAGCAACAGTCCTGGTTTCTGTGGGATCTCCCCACTACTAAACACATTTATCCCTGGTATTGTTCTAATAGATCTGCACTAAGTTCTCTCCACATCTTGGCATTCTTCCTAAATTGTGCTAGTCAAAAGTTGACATTAGTAGAGGCCTAGTCTTTAATATTCTCATATAGTGTGCTTTCTTTAGCTTCACAGTCTGGGGTCACCTATATTCGAGTGGTTACAATGCCTGTCAATCAAGCAGATCCAGCGGAATGTAATGTGTCTTCAGCAAGCCAGAAAGCTACAGGTATACAAATTTTTAGGCAATGGTATGAAAGATTTCCCATGTTATTTCCCTGTAACTTGCTAGCATAAGAATTCTTGACCAAATATTTATTCCATGTTACCATGTACTAAATTTTGCTCTGAAAGCAGGAAACCAGTAGCTGAACCTAATTTTGTTGCCAACAGTCTACCTCTAGTTGGGAAATTTTCCAAATTCAGATTTTGGCATAGGCAAACCATTGTTTTATAGGAGACAGTCTTCCTGTCCATTTGAATTAACTGCGTATGATTAAACTAGGATTAAAATGAGATTGATGGTTTCAGATGCCTAAAACAGTCATCACTGAGTTGCTGGTTTTCCTGCGGGAATAAGTTTGGGCAGATTTGCCCACTGCCCTGATGCCTAAATGATGCCAGGAGGGTTAGAACACCTTGATCTGACAAAGTTCATAATAGTCACTTCTCCCCTGTCTGCTGTGACTTAGCTTCAAAGAGTTAAATCCTTTAACCTAGCAAAACACTGACTTGTTTAAACATCTCCTAATTTCCATGACGAGCCCCAGCATGGTCTTCGCCTGCTTTCAGTTGGTTTGATTCAGACAGCTGCCGACTGCCACCCACCCCTGGGACAGGCTTTTAACAAGCACTTATCTGTTTTAGTTGGCTTGTTTAGGAGCACAGGCATGTTTGGAAACTCACGCACCCTCCACTCTCCCGATTGTTGCTAAAGTCAGAGACAAAGTTGGGATGTCGCATGAATCTGCATGACCCTGCTGCTGGGTTTGTTTTTCAACTGTATGTCTCCTTTGCATTCCAAATTAGACTCTGAAAGTCTGCTGTGTGTCAAGTTTGAATATCACCTCTTTTTACTTGCATGTTACTTTTCCTGGTCTGTTCTATTTCAATGCATGTCTTTATTTTTAATCATTAGAACAAATTTCTAAAATTTGAGACAGCAGTTCAAAATCTGAAGACTATTTGTATACTCTTCCAGGGATTCACTTGATCCCCGCTGTCTATACCTGACAGATGCTTCTTTCTTTTTCCTTGACCAAGACCTCAAATTCTCAAGTTATTCAGCATTCTCTACACCTACCAGCCTTGCCCTTCATACTAACAAGAACATAATGTCTCTGGACTCTTGTTATTTCATTTTTGAAGACTTCCCATTTTCCAACCAAGCTGGTTGGCATGGATGAGTTGGACCAAAGAGTCTGTTTCTATGCTGTATATACCTATGACTCTGTTATTGGAATCTATTCATCGGATTATAGTCTCGGAACTCATTTATAGCCATGTATAAATTCTTATGCTTTTTTTTTGTACATAGCTGATGGTGCTCAGCTTGAAATTAATTGTCAGTTTTGTAAATACAACAGTAAGACAATGTACTGTAAAGTCCATATTATCTGGATTGCAAGCACCCAGAATTCTTAAGTGACCAGCATCAAAGATTCAAGACGAGAATTCTGAATACTTGGGATTCAGAAAAAGGGGACTTTACTAGTATTAGCAATTAGAAGGGAATTATAGTTCAGATGCTTTATTAAAGCTAGTTCAAGATTTAACTTATCGATAAAGACAAAATCACCTGTAATGGCCAGGATGCAGGTATTTATGAATGGTTGCGGTGCTTGTTGTTAAGACACATTCACCTTGTGGTAGCAATGAGCTGAGTTTTCCCAGCCACCACTAGTATTTCTCAGGCAACTAGCACATTCAGGTAACTTGGCACTCCATTCCCTGTGCATACCGGTTACTAAGAGATTACAGTAACATCTGTTTAAAATTAGAGTGAATACTGAACCTTTAGCAAGCTGAGAATTATTTTTGAAAATTATCACATTGTTACTAAAAGATAATAGACCAGCAGTTTGTATCATGGAATTTAGTATGTGGCCTCAGATTAAGATGAAAAAATAAATTTAAACCAACTGATGGTTATGCAAAAATCTTGGAGTTTGTTGTCAGAAACTGTTATATCAAAAGATAATGTAACAACAAAACTTCTTAATGCAAAAGGAGGAAACTAAAAATTGTTCTTCCTTTTTAGCAAGGGGTTCCTCGGCAAAGAGCTTATTGAGTTCTCCTCCTCCATCAGGTCTAAAACCCAGCACCTTAAAGCAACTGGGGCATTCTATTTTGCATCCAAATTATGAAGAGACAGAAGAGCAGGTAAGTTTGCATATTTATCAAAATGAGTGATTTTAATCTTTTGTGATGTCAAAAAGTAACTTGGATAGGCATTCCAGTTAAAGAATGTTAAATCATTTTACTTAAAAATTCGTACATTATTCCTGATTTTAGTTTCATCTCAGCTAAACTGACAGTTCAGGTTGAAGGGAAGAAGAAAGAACGTAGTTCTCAACGATCCAAATGTGATTCCTGCACTTTTACTTATCAGGAAACATGTTTGACAGGGCAGCCTCCCTCAGGAAAGAACGGGCTCCTTGGTTTCAAAGGTTAGCCCAGAATAATGTCTTCAATGTTATACTGCAGTTGTAAATGTCAACCCAAAATTAGCTATAGTCCATGAGGGGCTGTATGTATCTCTTGTTCATTGCATTTCCACGTGTTGCTATCAGTCCTCCCTCTGTTTGCTTTCTGATATTCACCCATCTATTCCTTGTCTGACCTAGCCTGGTGTTTCCGGATGGTTTTTATTGTTGCCAATACCAAACTGTCTACTGGTCATAAGTTCTCAGTTTCCACTTATTCACCTCGGGTTTAATGATACAAATCCATATAAATCACAAAATCTGACAGGAGAATAGCCGAAAAGGGTCTCTGACGAAGTTCCTTTTTTGGATTCTTTTAAGAGCCAGGAGAAGTAAAGGTATTTTACCAGGTTCCACCAGGATTTCCTAGGCCCCTCTAGCCCAGGCACTCCTCATAATCGCCGTATGCCTCTGGCAAGATCATTTGAAGGATGAATTTTCCACTTCCACCCCAACCAGTGACATTTTCCATTGAATTCAGGCAGATCAAGGTCCATTATTTGAGTAAAATATGTTAATATCATTTAGATCTTGCACAAACTTTGAGTGGTTTTCCTCTTTCATCCTGCACAATCCAAATTAAAATCAAACTTTGTTACACGATACAAATGATTAAAATGTAATTACAACTCAAAATGAACTCTTCTAAAAGTAGCATTCAAGCTAGCTATCTTTTTTAAACTAAACCATGTAATAATTTTTTTAGCTTAACTATGATTTACTAGGCCTTTTCTTATTCCTACCTACCAGTTCATTGCTAACTTCGAAAAGAGTTTCAACCTGTTGCTTCTCCATGCTTTGTTTTTAATAGCAAATTGCTGCTTTATACTCTGCATGCTGTCATCCTCAAGTGTGTTTTTTTTTAAAAATCATTTGTTACTTTAAAGGATATCTGCCCAGGTGATAGATTTGCTTTCCAATTGGATAGAACCGCAGCCCCTCATAGTATATTTTTATTTTCTTGTGTTTATACCTTCGTGCGAACGATAATCTAATCAAAGGCTATAATAATATAAAGTTAAATTAATAATTGCATCAAGAAATATGAAGCAAGAGAATGGAGTCAAGAGAAATGTATATCAGTCTTGATCTTGATGAAGCTTGTACTGTCATTTTAAGGGGCTGTTGTTCTTTGTACGTTCAACATTAACCAGTTTTTCTAATTATCAGGCAGGCGGTGCAGTACTGTCGTGCTCTGTGCCCCTCCAAAAAATTAGAATGTTTCATGATCATAGCATCATTATTGACAGGCTGCCTTGAGAAATTATTTAACAATGAGATCAACTGACTTAAAATAAAAGTTATAGTAATATTTTAATTTGAGGGGCTCAACTTCTGCAAAAGCTGAAAGTCATCTGTTTGTAACTTTGTTATAAAGAATGTTTTTTTTTGTTTATAGACAGGATTAAAAGTTGCCACAGAGAATGGGTCACCTCAAACGAGTGCAGTTTCAGTCAAAACCGTGTGCCTGACTCTTCCAAAAACAAACAAAGCCAGCGCTTTTGTAAGTACAGTATAGTAAATGAAGCTGTTAGCATTTTGTTTGCAACATTCTGTAGTTTTTAACTATCATTACAGTTTCCACAATAAGAGCATCAGTCACCCTGCAAAGTGTGGTTCTTTTGCCATTTGTTACTTTAATACATTCTAGCCCAGATGACAGATTTGACTTGCTGTTGGGTGGAAATGCTGCTCCAGATGAGAAGCTGCAAATCATAGAGGGGTCAATCCCTGCACTGAGAAGGCTTTGAATTAATCCTAGCGTAGGATATCAGCTCTTAGAAGGTGCTTAGGGACAACACTATTGTGTCTAGTTTCTCTTCTTCCCAAAGTTCAGCTCCCTCAAGCTACAGGGTTTCCTAGAAAATTTGGCTTGCTTTGTTTAGATTTACAAAATGACCTGGTTTTAACATAAAACTATTAATCTTATTAAAATATTAAAATTCCACCAATCTGCTTGAAGTGGATTGGTTTGCCTTTGCTGTGTCCCACCAACATTAAACCTGGAAGTGGAAGTTTTGGGGTTGGAGTTGAGCTTTATCAAATTTTAGCATCTTGTGTGCCCTAAGCCTCCATTTTTGGGAGCTTAAAATAGTCTGTATGTTTCTGCCAAGTGGAATTACAGTAAGTCTTTCCTTTATAGGACAGGAGCACGAGTAGAAGGAAGAGGTGAGAAAATGAAAAAGAGTTTTGTTCCTCTCTGTGGGAAAATACCTATCTACTTAGAAATTGCTTTTGATGGCACTGCAGGCATCAGTAGAATATGGAAGAATGAGGAAGAAACCATGTATGGTCCTGTATCCTGTGTATATGGTCATTTACCAAAGGTCCCAATGTTGCTGTGTTTCCAATCATGTAAAGTGTTCATTGTTTTATGAGTCATGAGTGTATTACATGATTCTTTATGAAGTCTTGTGTATTTACATTTCTAGCACTGTTGTGTGTGTCAGTAATCAGCTAAGTGTATTTATTGTGTTCTTAAGGACCTTGGTTTGGCAACTTGCAGAGGTAAAGGTCGTTGCAAGAATCCCAAATGTACATATGTCTACATGAACCGGTACAAACCAGGAGTCTGTCCAAAGTGTGGTTATGACTTCACAAGGGATAAACAGGATGTAAAGCCATCAAAACCTGTTGTGAGTATTATATCTAAGACAAATAGTGTACAGTAACAAGGTTCATAAAGGAACAAAGTAGACCATTAAGCACCTGAGCTTGTTTCATAATTTAGTACACTTCCTCCAAGGCCTGTACCTTCCTTCAAAGGTTTGCTGTCTAGAACCATACTGTAAACCTCTATGACTAACTGTACTCAGTACTCCAGATGCGGTTCAACCAGAGCTTTGTATGACAGAAGGATGACTTCTGCACTATTTACAGTGTGACCTGTTTTTGTGTCATTGTAAATAACAGGGTTTCCTATCCCATCAAATTCATTGGTACATACGGTGATTAACTGAGACGTCTATGCAAATGTTTGTGAGGTACAACTATTCACAAATGTCAATTATCTCCCTTCAATTCCACTGGTTTCTAGCAGTGCAAATAAATCGTATCATTGACATTCCTCAGTTTACCAATTCAAGCAACTCTGATTTTTATTTTAAAATCAGGTTTGCCAGGCATGGGTCTAACTTTCACCAACTCTTGCTATCCCTGTCTGATCAACTGAAAATTTTCAAATATTCAGTCATCCATCTTTAATCATCGACCCTAGAAATTTCCTGACAACAGATTAGACTAATTGGTCTATAATCCCCTTATTTTACCTCTGTCAGCTCTCTTAAATAGTTAAATATATGCAGATTTCCAGTCTGAACGAATGATTACTGAATTGGGAAAAATTCAAAAACTTATGCATGGGGCATCTGCAATATTGAATGGAAACTGCCTGATCATAGGGATTTGTCATTCTTTTTTGTGTTTATTCTGTTAATTTGCTTGAGTTCCTGATTCCATATTAGTTTTCTCTAGATCTCTGACATTCTGACCTCATCCAATCCTGTAAATACTGATACACACAATTAAGTCAGCACGTCTTCTGTTTCCTTATTTCGAAAGGTAATGATACTGTCATCAGTTTTCAAGGACCCACATTGCTCCTGACAGCCTCTTTTTTTTTACATATATTTGAATGTAATTATATTATTTTCGATATTTTGATAAACTTAATCTGTTTGTCATGCATTTTGCAGTGCTTACTATCTGTTTTATCACCCTTTGCATTTCTATACATCTTCCCGATTTTCTAGGGCCACAATTTTTGTTTTACATTTTTAAGTTTTTCCTTTAAGTTTCGTGTTGCTGCTTATGCGTTGATGTTTATATGCTGTCACTTGGCAAGTAGAGATCTTGTCCTTTAAGGGTATAACCAGATTCTATATCTCTAATTCTTTTTCAAGCATCACAAATCTTCAATCCTTTTTAAACTCATTAACAGATCTACCCAGTTTGCTGCTGACGGTCCTGTTGGTTTAACATCGGCTGTACCTAAATCTTATCGCTCTTCCAAATAACAAATTTAACTCATTCATATTATGATGACTATTTGACAAATGTTCTCATGCCATTGAACTGTAAACTGCATTAATTAACAATTCCAGTAAAGCAGACCCCTTGTTTGTTCTAAAGCATACCATATATATTGATGTAATAGTTTAGTTTCTAAGACTAAATTTTTCAGGAATAAATAAAGAATCTATCTTGACACAAGTTGGTGATTTGTCCTGATGAGTGCAATATTAAAAACTTCTACAATGTGTCCCTTTTGCATTAGTACTCAGGTTCTGTACTACTAAGCTACCAGATATTCAAGGTATTGCAGATAGCTTCTGGTTCCTCTTGTTTATATTTTTAAAAATATGGAGTTTTAAATTTTAATTTCAGATAAACAACGCACTTTCTTTGGGTCTGTTGAATCCGGAGGAGGGGCTAACCCAGGCCTCAAAGGATTTACAACGCCAGACTACATTACTGCTGCTCAGGAGAACAGTTCAGATCCCTGAGAACGAGGCTGAACTTCATGAAGTTTTTAGTCTAATTCAAGAAATGAACAGCTCAAGGTTGATCTTGTCAACAGTAAATGAGACCATAACACTTGAACAAAATTCGTGGCCGAATTACTTTGAATCTTCAGCCACTATCTGTGGCTTATGTGACAGCCAGTTATTCAAGGGTGGACAGAAGTAAGGATCTTTTTCTACTCCACTGTTGTTACCTACTTGAGTACTGTATTGTTATACAACGCATGCCTTGGAATTGTGAAACAACTGTGTATATATTTTACTATTCCCTTGCCATTCTGTGGGGAATTAGATGTTTCCCCACAAGATTCAAAGCTTACTCCTGTGAAATTGTGTAAAATGATTTAAAGTTTAAACAATTAGGAAGCTGGATTCCAGATTATTTATTTATCTGCTGCTGTCTGGGCTCATGGGCTGTGGGCACATCTGGCTAGGCCAGAACTTCTTGCTCACCCCTGATTGCCTTAGGTGGTTGTGGGTGATGATGAGCTATCTTCTTGAACTGCTGTCATCCTTAGGGGCAGGGATACCCACAATGCTGGTAGGAAGTTCCCGAATTCTGACCGGTTCCAAGTCGGATGACGTATGGCTTGAAGGGAACCTTGCAAATGGTGATTGCCCCTTGAACTTTGAGATAGTAGAGATCATGGGTTTGGAAGTTGTTGCCAGACGAGCCCTGGTGTGGGGCTCCTGCATCATGCATCTTACGGATGTTGCACACTGATGCCACACTGCATCAGTGATGAAGGAGTGAATATTGAAGGTGATGGATGTGGTGCTAATCACAAGGGCTGCTTTGTCCTTGAGCTTCTTGAGAGCTATTGGAACCACACTCATTCAGAAAAGCAGAGTGTGTCCCTTGACTGTTCTGACTTATGTCATGTAGATGGTCGACAGATATTGAGGAGACAGGAGATGAGTTACTCACCAGGGAATTCCTGGCCTCAGCTTACATTTGTAGCCACAGTATTTATAAAGCTTGTCCAGTTCAGTTTCTGGTCAATGGTAACTCCCAATATGTTAATAGTGGGAGATACAGTCATTGAAATGCCATTGAACTTCAAGGGGTAATGGTTAGATTCTCTCTTATTGGAGGTGGCCATTACCTGGAACTCGTGTGCGTTACTTACCCACATAGCACCCCAGACCTGAATGCTCACCAGATCTTGCTGCATAAGCTCATAGATTGCTTCCATTTGTGAGGAGTTGCAAATTGTGCAGTCATCAGTAAACATACTCACTTCTGATCTTAAGATGAAGGGAAGTTCATTGAATATGTTGCGATGCATTAGTGTGAGATGTATTGAGTACGAACGTATTGTAAAATTATGCATATAATGTGAATTTCCAAAATGCATCAGACTTGTTTGATGGCATGCTTCAGTTACCATTCTTAGAGACCTTTTTTGTTATTATTGCTTGTGCAGCATCCTCTTTTATTGCCTGTGATATGGGCTTCATTTCCATTATGCGTTGCCCATTCTTAATTGTTCTTGAATTGGGTAGTTTGCTAGATCATTTATAAGTGCAGTTAAGTTTGCACTGGATTTGTAGATCAAGCCAGGTAAGAATGGTAGATTTCTATCCCTATAGACATCAGTGAAACAGATGGATTTTTAAGGTTTTGGAGTAGATTTGTAGCTCGGGTTGTGGGTATTGAGGTTGGTTGGCTCGCCAAGCTGGTTCCTTGTTTCGCTGACGTTTTGTTACCATGCTGGGTAACATCCTCAGTGCAGCCTCCGATGAAGCATTGGTGTGTTTTCCCGCCTGGTTTTTAAACTCTGGGGTCCGTTGAGATGGATTGCCTCACTTCCGGTTTTCCTTCGTAGTGGAGTGTATATGGGGTCGAGTTCAATATGTTTATTAATAGCATGCTTCATGGAGTGCCAGGCCTCTAGGAATTCTCGTGCCTGTCTCTGCCTAGCTTGTCCCAGGATCTTGGTGTTGTCCCAGTCGAAATGGTGGTTCTCCTTTCCATGTGGATTGAGATGAGTGAGTATTGGTCATGCCTTTTCGTAGCCAGTTGGTGTTCATGTACTCTTGTTAGTTTCCTTCCTGTTTGTCCGATATAGTGTTTCTCACAGTCTCTGCAGTGGATTTTTGCAGTAATCAGTGATAAGATGTCACAGTCATCAACACTGATGTGCCAGATGGATTCATCTCACATCTGGGTTTGAACCCATGGCCCTTAAGCATTCACCTGTGCCTCCAGTGACACATGACCACTGTGCCACTCTGTTCCTCAAAATTGAACAATAAAAGTGGTATATATTTATAATGCTAAATGAAAATGAAAACTAAAACTGGTTTACATAACGTTCCTTCTAAGCTTCACATGCATGCAGCCACTGTGATGTTCTACACGCAACAATTGGCATGCGAATGTGATCACATCAGTCACTTCAAGTTCTGGAAGTCACTACAGCACATGGTCCTTGGAGGTCCGTGCAGAAGAAGAATAATTAGAGCGAATGAGATAACAAGGTGTAGAGCTGGATGAACACAGCAGGCCAAGCAGCATCATAGGAGCAGGAACGCTGACGTTTCGGGCCTAGACCCTTCATCAGATTCTGATACCTTGTTATCTCAGATTTTCCAGCATCTGCAGTTCCTACTATCTCTAATTAGAGCGAATGCTGGTTTTAAAATGTATATAACATTATTGAGCTGCAGAGAGACTGGTTCAGCTTATTATATTTCAGTGCTGAAAATAGATCGCTGACAAAGTGGAGGTTAAAGCATTTTTGCTGCTGAGATACAGTTCCATATCAATTTTAACAGCAAGTGATTAATACGTCCACTTGACACAACTGCAACCTGTTGCCCGTATACAAGCCTAAAAAAAAGTTCATCACTCAACTACCTTGAAGACAACTTTTGCATATGGGTAGCAGACAGCCTTTTACTCTTTTAAAACAAAACTTTAATTAGGTTTGACAGCCCCTGGTGGGGCACTGTAACAGAGAAACAGGTAAGTTCTTAATGGAAACTTATAAAAAGTGAACATTTTCCAGGATGATGATGCACTCCAGCCCCTGTGGTGCTAACTGGTCTTTAAAGGCCTCTATCGTGCCAGTGGATACTGCATGTTCCCTGTCAATGGACAGCTGAGTGTAGATGTAACCATGAAACAGGGATAGACAGTAAGGCTCTCTCCGCAGTTCACTGACTGACCTATTAATGGAGACTTTGGCCAGGCCTAAGAGCAGGTCCACAAGAAGGTCCTCTGACCACCCCTCCAAAGCGTAGGGTGCCTGCAGATTTGGGGTGTGGTGCTGAAGTGCAACCCAACATTTAAAAGTAACTGCTTCAAAAAAAGAACTAAAGATGGCCTGCAAGTGAAATCATTCAGCATAAGTATGGATTACCATTTTCCTATAGCCTACATAAGCTACAGCGGCTTGGCAGCCAGTAAACTTAATTAACCTGCTGTGGCAGGGGCCTAGAGGCCTAGTGCATGCAGCACTCTCCACCCAAGATCTCCGCTGGAAGGAGAAGAATCCTTTGGAGAGGGTCTTCCACTGGGGATCTCTGCCACCAGATGGTACAAATTACACCAGGCTGTGTCCAAGCGGCGGACAAAGGTGAGGAATTGGAGAATGTGCAGCAGCCTTTACAGGAATTGCCTCTACTATTATGAAGGGTGAGGAGGCAATTTCCCTCAGATGGCTCAGGTTGTGGGGAGCCATGTCCCAGGGAGGGTTCGGTGCAGGGGCCAATGTCAACTTCCAGATGAGCAGGAGTTAGTTCACCTGGAAGTCCACCATCTGAGCCAACTTTTTTTTTTCCTCCATGCAGTCTCATAGGTGAGCACCTCTGTCAGGAGGCTCAGGATGGCTCGGGCTATATACTCGATGTTCCATTAGTTCTTTTTCGTGAATAATCACTGTGTTGCTGGAGGGAAGTTTCGCACTCTGGTTCTATTTACTTGCCTTCTAATTTGTAACCAGCCTTTGTATCTGCTCAGTTGCTTCTGCAGGAAGACTTCGTTAAATGGCAAACTGATTGTGTAATGAATCTGGGACATAAACCCATGTCCTACCAGTCCACAGCTCATTGCTGAACGTTGCACCGTTAGGTTGCTCAGAACATGTAACGAGTCGGACAAAAAGAACCTGGGCAGCTTAAGACAAACAAAATTGGCTCCTGATCATTGAGGAAGATGAAAATTAAAATATAGCTGATGATGTTAGAACAGTACTTGGAGCACCCTTGGAGTGGTTCAGGTTTTGGCTGGTGAGCATGCAGTATGTGTCTATGCAAAAGTATGTTGCAATTAAATATTAACCAGTTACTGAACTGTACTGAACCAAGAAAGTTTGACCTGCTGTGATTTCAGGGAAACTGAGTAGAACAGCAACTATAAACAAAGAGCATGTCCATTTGTTTGAGGAGAATTACAATGATTAAATACTTGAATAAGCCTTTCATATAAAAATGAAAAGATTTGATTGTTTCTGAGTTGAAATGAAAGAATTATAATGTAGGAAATGTGTGTTTATCTACTTCAGGAGGAGGAAAAGACAAAGGGGAATATTATTTAAAAAGAGTGATAACAGCATGTTATGCTACATGACGATTTGGGTGACCTTATACCTGAAGTGGACAATTAATCATGTTGGTAGTACTCTGAAAGTAACTAGGAAATCATGGAATGTTGGTCTTATTGCAACAGAATTGACATTTATAAAACATACCTAGAGTACTATGCACATTTGTGGTCTACTTGTTGAAGGATAAATGTTTGGACATTGTAAAACTTTAATTGCTAAAATCAATATAATTCAAATACTAATTGACAGCGAAAGAACGTTTCACCTAAGAAGTGAATTCTGTCTTAGATATTCTGTATAACAAGGATACGCTTCACATAGTTACAAGCGCACTAATCACTTTCCACACAAATGTGGTAGGCAGATGTTCAATCTCTGTCTTTCCAACTTGACCGCCAGCACAGGATCTCACTTCCTGCTAAACGGATTTGGTTCTCGAGTCACCTTTACTGAAAGTGATCTTCTAATTGATAGAGGTTGCAAGTTTGGAAGTTCTTTAAGTTTTTGCAATGCATCTTGAAAAAGGTACATGCTGCTGCTGCCGCATTGGTGATGTAGGGAGTGAATGTCAGATAGGGTGACAGATGAGCGAACTGTTTTGTCCTGGATGGTATTGAGTTTTAGTCTTTGAGCTTTGCACTACTGACTTGTGCCTTGTAGATGGTGGGCAGGCTTTGAGGGCTTGGGAGGTTAGTGATTGCAGAATTCCTGGTCCTGTACAGTATTTATGTGGCTGATCCAGTTCAGTTTCTGGTCGCTGATAACCCCAGGATTTTTATAGTTGGCACCTCAGCAGTGATAGTGCCATACGAAGGAGCAATGCTTAGATTCTCCCTTGTTGGAAATGGTCATTGTCCGGCACATGTGTGACACAAATTTTGCTTGTCACTTATCAGACCAAGCCTGAACGTTGTCCAGGTCTTGTTGTGTTTCAACGTGGACTGCTTCAGTATCTGAGTCATGAATAGCATTGAACGTTGTGAATTCATCAGTGAAAATCTCCAAATCTGAAATGCTCTCACACTAACCCAGTCCTTGCTTTATTCTCAGAATCTTCATCCATTTTTTCTCACCAGGATTTTCTTGAATTGCAGCTTCTATTCTTAACGCAGATATCTATTGTTGTGGATTTTTAGACCAGATGTAATTGGATAACCTATTAGCTGTCTGTTTACTTTCCATTCCAGCTCTGTAGAAACTTCGATTGACAACACTTCCCAGAAATTCGATGTATTGTCAGAATTATCTTGGTTTCAATGTGGTCTTCAAAGGACATCACAAGCAGAAAATACAGGATTTTCCCAAAGTACAGGGTAATTACAGAAGTTAGTTCAGACAAGGTTCATCACAATGATTCCTAAGTTGAGAAGGTTGTCTTATCAGGAAAGCTTCAGCAATTTGTGCCGATACTCCATGGAGTTTAGAGCAGTGAGAGGTAATCTATCTGAACGGTATGGAATTATTAGGGATTTCACAGGTGGTGAGAGGGCATTTCCCCTCGTGACAGAATCTAGAACTGTGGACGGATTTTGAATTAAGATTCATCTGTTTAAAATGGAAACAGACAGTATTTCTTCTCGCTGAGGGTTGGGAATTCTCTACCTCTGAAAACTCTGTGAAGGCTGAGTCATTAAATATTTCCAATCTGTTGACCAGAATCTCAAACTATAGAACGGCACGATGGCTCAGTGGTTAGCACTGCTGCTTACTGCGTCAGGGACCTGAGTTTGATTCCAGCATGTGGAATTTACACGTTCTCCCCTTGTGTGCGTGTTTCTGCCAGGTCCTCTGGTTTCCTCCCACAATCCAAAGATGTGCAGATTGGTTGGATTGGCTATGCTAAATTGCCCATTGTGTCCAAGGATGTGCAGGCCATATGCATTAGCTGTAACAGAGTTACGGGGATGGGGTGGGAGCTGTGACTGGGTGGGATGCTCTACGGAGGGTTAAAGCAAACTCCATGGACCAAATGACCTCTTTCTGCATTGCAGGGATTCTATAATTCTACAGAAGGGGGAACAGTCAGAAAAGTAGCATTGAGGCCAAATAAATTCACTAGTGATCTTAATGATGGAGCAGGCTCAAGGTGTTATGCTTTTTTTGTGGTCTGATATTTCTTTCAGTGAGAGGTCAGCCTGTCCTACAAGATTATTTATTTATTTTTTGTCTCACTACTATGCTTGCTGCCAGCGCACAGGGCTGAATGTTTGTTCCTTTCTCCAGCAATTTCCTTTCATTTTGCTTGCAGTTGTGCAGATTTGGTGCAACACTTGCTATTTTTCAATTCTAGATCATATACTTGATATTGTGATGTATTATAACCAAATAATGACCAACTGAGTGTGTCCATGCATATTAATCTTTGGATTATCAAAGTATTTATCAGTTTGGTGTTTTGCAACCTGTAAGGATTGTTATCGGTAAATTTGTAATAGGGAGCACTTGCAAATTTGTAACTTTTTGAATGAAAATGGGAAACCAAGGGCTTCTGTGTCAGGAAGACAGAGCTTATAACAGTCATATTAATCTATATCAAAGTGATATTAGTAGAAGCCTGTGGTGACCCCAACCCTGAGAGCCTTTTGATTAAGACATGGAGAAAACAAGAGGAAGACTTAATTTTTAATATTATGAGCTTGCACACATGCCAAGTTCTGGGAAAGAAAGTCTTGAAAGTGCTTTTATTCAGCGTTTTTATATAATAAAAAAAGATGCATCGTAAAAAATGTTAATATTCTTAGCAAGAGAGCATACCAATTCATGACTTTCATCCCTGTACACATTCCTCCCTAAGTGCCCCTCCTGCAGACTCATTGATGTTTAGTATTTCCCATGCAAGCCAGGATGACTTCATATTAGCTTGAATGGTGATGCAAGTGTGTGGACCAGTCATTGAAGTATTCTTATGTTGAAATCCTGTTTACTGTATGGCTTTCTGTGATCTGTGTAATTAAATTTTTTTTGAGTGTTAGGATAAGTTATTTACTATCAGTGATCTGATAATTCACTGCTTGGACAAAGTGAGGATGAGAAACAAATGGACTTAAGTTAGATAATGATGACGATTATATTTAATATGAGGTGTTTGCTTTATGAACCGTTCTCTAAAGTAGCATTTTGCTCTCAGAACTGTCTTACTATGTCCTAAAGATTGTATGGAGAGGTTAGCTCAGTTGGTTTGATGGCCAATTTGTGATATAGAGTGATGCCGGTAGTCTAAGTTCAGTTCCTGTACTGCCTGAGATCACCATGAAGGACTCTCCTTCTTCTCAAACTCTACCCTTCCCTGAAGTGTGGCTCCCTCAGGTTAAACCACCACCAGTCGTTTCTCTGTAATGTGAAAGCAGCCCTATTGACCGGTAGGATCATGGCAACTTTACCTTTTTAGGATTGGATAGGCACTGTTACAATCTGCTTGAATTATAGATGACATGTAAAAATAGCATCTAATTTATATTTGGTTTATAAACTGTCAAAATTAATGTGTGTTGTATTTATTTAAAATAGTTGTAATAAAAAGGAATGCAAGAAATGGATTGCATTTCGGTATTATTTCTTATTCTGAAATATCAAACATACACCAATAGATGGCAGTATGCTTTCTATTCAGTGTATATACTGGGTTTGAGGCTATTGCTGGTCATTTCTGTGCTTCAGTTTCAACTATGCAATAAGTCTGGATGTCTACTATATTGTATAACTATATGCACTTTCACTGAACCATGTCCAGTGAGAGCATTTTGGTTTTGCTGAGTATATTTGAATACGATCTTTGCTCATATTAACTTCTAGTTTATGCTGCATTTTTCATTTAACTGTACTCTAATGATTCAAGAAGAACCCAGGAAGTTAATTTGGAGTTCAAGAATGCAATTGTGTATGATGTATACCAAAGACTTAAGTAATGCTCCCCTCCACTTCCTATAAAATGTACATCAACTTCTCTCTTTCTATCTTTTGCATTTTACTCAAAAAAAGATTTTCTTCAGGTATCCTTGATTTCCAATCACTGAATCAGCAAGTGGCTGACCTCCGCATGAGAGAGAATGTACCCACACTGGTTTTGAAAATTTTCCCATGTTGATGATAGTGTGAAGAAAAAAGAATAAAATTCTGCCCACTTTCCATTAGTTAGTGCTTCAGAGATGTGGAGAGGAGGAGGCCCAAATAGCTTCTGATGTAGAGTACTGAGCAATCAAGATCTGAGTTGGAGAGCTGTCTACAAGCTGCTATTGTCGTTGATATGTGCCTCGAACTGAAAGCTTGTGCTGACTCTGCCTGTATTTGCACCTGTGGTGCCACTAATGACCACTCTTGCTACTCTCCCTCCACTTGTGACTTTCCTCGGCTGCTGCTTTCCTGCGTCCCACTCAGCTCTATACCCAACTCCCTAAGTAAAAGCAAAGCACTGCAGATGTTGGAAATCTGAAACAAACACAGAATGCTGGAGAAACGCAGGAGGTCTGGCAGCATCTGACAGAGAGAAACAGAGTTAGCGTTTTGAATCCAGTATGACTTTGTCAGAACTGGCCCCCAACTCTCCTGCTCACCACTTTACTCGTTACCCTTACCCCCATTCAGCAGCCTCATGTGCCTTTCTACCTTGCTTCCTAAGTCCCAGAGACAATGAACAGCAAAGCAGCACAGTGAGAGTGGGACATAGGGGGGAGTGAGCAAATCTTGAGTCCAGGATTTGAATTAATTCAAAACATTTGAAAAACATTCATTTTATTGCTCCAATTTCTTATGCAACCATTTTACTGTGGTGTCACAGTACCTCGGCTGAATGGGTGGTGAGTGCACTCCAGTGCAGTGGTAACCTATTTTGGGGTAGCAAATTTTTAACTTAAGCTATTTCTATGATACCTGAAGCTAAATCACGCTGCTTTTTTTTTAATTGGAGTGGATTGCAATGTAAATTCCGCTTTGCTAGCGTACCCAAGCAGCTTGTATCTAGCTTTCTCACTAACTTCAAGCCATGTTGTTATGAATGCAACAAGGAAATGGGCAGATCTTCCTAACAGAGGAAGGAAAAGTCCATGGGATAATTGTCTAGTTTTAACAATCAATTGAGAAATGTGCAGAAATGAATGGACTTCTAATAGGGTAACAGCCCATAATCAAACTAAGATTAAGTGCAGAGTCGTAAACGTCTCCTGAGCTCCAAAAGCATACAGAAAGCAGTTCTTTTCTGTCATTCTGTTCAAATTGCATGTCCCAGAAGCAAATATAACACCTGTGCCTTTCTCGTCAATTTCTTTACGTAAAGTTGATATCAGGTCTATTGGTACAATAATACATAATACATGCTTTGAGGTGTTGGGAATACTAGAAAAAGAAAAAAATTCTCAGCATTCCATGTCCAACCAATATACTTAATCCTGATAGTTTAATAATTAGTCTAGTTCCTGCAAGTTCGATTTTTGAGCATTGCAAGAGCTAGTACAGTTGAGTATCAAATTGCTGATGAGGTATATTTCACTTTTGTTCCAGTTCAGTAGCTGGTCCTGAGGAATGCTGGCTGTTGACAGAAAGCCAGTTCCAAGTGGTTATAGTTCAGGCGAAAATCTGCTTGAATCCCCACTGTCTTGCACTTCATAACTTCACGGACATCAGCTCAGGTAAGAGATGTACTTTTTTCTTGCACCAGTCTCCTGATCCCTTGCAATTGACCAAGGTTCCAAACAATCTCCTATGAGCCACCAACCTGTGGAGTTTCTCCAGCTCAATACGGTTTATCGTTATAATCTCAGCTGATGGCATTAATGGACAAGCCCAATGCCAGAATTAAATCTAGCTTGATAGATTTTCTTTTTTGTTTGTTTAATTAGCTAACTTGATTAGTCACTAAAACATATTCATATGAGGCTGCAGAATTTTCTTTAACAACAGAAGTTTTTTTGCACAAACAATTTTTAAAGTCAGAGGTCACACGACACTAGATTATAGTCCAACAGGTTTACATTAAATCCAGCTTTTGGAGCGCTGCCCCCTCACCTGATGAAGTGACTTCAACCGACGAAGGAGTAGCGTTCCGAAAGCTTGAGGTTTCAAATAAACCTTTTGGACTTTAACCTGGTGTCGTGTCCACCTCAGTCCAACACCAGCACCTCCACATCACAATTTTTAAAGCAAGCTCTCAAAATAAAGTGATGGTTAGCAAGATCTCAAAACGCATGGGAAGAAGATTGAAACTTTGTTTTGCTGACACTAATCTATAACAGCCACCTGAATCTTAGCTACTTAAATCTGAGCTTTTCCTGCTGAGCTTTTCCAGCAACTTTTTTTGTTCTTGATTTACAGCATCTGCAGTTCTTTTGGTTTCTACTTAAATCATACTTCACTGACTTTCCTCAGTTTCATTGAGCTGTTTACATGTCTGCTGGCATGAACTTCTTCACAAATCTGAGACTCTAATCTTATTCTGTTCTATTAACCTGTATATTTCTAACCAAATTCCCCGGTTTGGATGTTTAACTAACTAAACCATTCTGCGAAGTGACTGGTTCCCTGAACTCCAACCAGAGCAACTAACCTTGCTTCTGAATTCAACTCTTGTGTTCTCTGAATTTAGTTTAAAAGCTTGCTCAACCCTAGATTGCTGTGATGTGAAAATACAGCTGGTGGCCTGAAGCGTAACATCACAGGGATCTCCACTCACATGCTTCCTAACACATTCTGGATTTAGTCACTGAACCGGAAGGACACTCTGACATTATTTCTTCCAAAGAAAACACTTGAAATAAATAACCAACAACAATCTACCTCTAATTTGAAATCGAAAAATGATATGTATATATAGAAATTATATACCATTCGTCACAGTGGTTAATGTTGTGGAATCGAACTGTGAGTGACTTGCTGCTGAGCATCTCCTGTCCATATGCAAGTATAACTCTTAATTTACTTTGTCTTCAGGCTTGAACACCTGGGTTCAGATTGCAATAGGTGGAAATTGTATGTTGCGCTATATCTCAGTACTATGATCCCACCTCTTGCTCAGCAGTGTCTGTCCATCCTATTTTCACCATGTGGTAGCAGTGGTAGACTGGATTCACTGAAGAAAAGCATTGCTAAATCTGTGTCATTATCATTCAGTCTATATTTCATTTCTTTTGTTGCTGTCTTTAGTTGCTATTTCTAGATTAGTCAGTTGCACAATTGCAAAAATTTTCAAAATCTAGTAATTTTTAGGAATAAATACCTGTGCTGTTTCTCAATAAATTTTAGAAAATACAGTTGTTCTATTAATTGATGATTTCTGTTCCAGGCTTATTTAATATCGGAAACAAGCTTTTGGTCAGTTTGGATTTACTGTTCAAAATAAGAAACCATATCAAGCTTGGAGAAGATCCAAGGGATGTGACCACTCCCATATTGAACTCTGTGCAAAAATTCACAGGTGGGTTACATTTTTCTTGTTTTATCTAGTGACTTGTTCAGAGATGTTATCTCACACCTCTGGAGTAGGTGGGACTTGAACGTGGGCCTCTTGGCTCAGAGGCAAACACCCTACCACTGCACCAGAATATCCATCACAGGCAAGTTTAATAATTTTTGAGTGAGTTGGTTTTGGGTGGCCTTAATTCTATTAATATGTAGCCAGGAAATTCTGGATAATCTGTCTTGAAGTTACACCATTGCACTCCTATGGTACACTGTCTTTGCTATGAGATGTTTTGTGAGCACTAGCAGTAATTAGTTTAGTAGTAGCTGTCTTAATTAGTTACTTTCTCTTGGAGCTTCACTTAACTGTTCTGAACACTTGGACTATGCAATAATTTTTGTTTGCAGTTCCTGAACGAAATTTGTTTTGAAATATTCTTGAACTAAAAGCCTGATGGTGTTTATAATGCTTGTGTGTCCTGTGTAACTGGATGGGGATGTGCCATAACATGGGTATTGAATAAAATAATGTTGACTAGCCATGAAAACAATTTTTTTTTGCAAAAGTCCCTTAAACTTTTGTGATTGATGGTGCTCTTTACAAAAGGATTAATAATCACCAATTATTGCCATCTCAGTCATAATCATATGAAAGTGCTCGTATATTTTAATAATTTTTTTCATAAAACAAATACTTTTTACAAGCTATTACGTGCAATGGGTGTACCTGTTTCACACCAGAGTCTGTGCATTGACAGGAGAATGGAAAGATGGAGAGAGCACTATGCTGCAGAGTAAGGACAGTGGAATGAAATGAGAACAAGAGGACATGGAGGGACTGGAAAATGCTTCTTTGCCTTCACTCTTGATCCATGGTATCCTGGTCAGGCAATGACCATCTTCAACAATAGACGATCTAATGATTGCCCCTTGACATTCTCTGTCAATATCCAGGGGATTACTATTCATATTGAACCGGACTAGCCATGTAACTGTTACAAGAGCAGGAGAGAAAATGGGTCTATGGCTTTGAGATAGAGGATTAGCCATAATTATACTGAATTGTGGACCAAGCTTGAAGGTTTAAATGGCCTGCTCCTATTCCTCCTAGTTTCAATGTTTTCTATGCTTTAAGAGACGAGGAGTCTTGCAGCAAGGAAGTCAACTCCAGACTCTCCAAAGCCTAACCATCATCTATAAGGCGAGTGCACAGCGTTCCAACACACTCCTGACTTGTGCTTTGTAGATGGTGGACAGGCTTTGTGGTGTCAGGAGGGGAGTTACATACTGCAATATTCTTAGCCCCTGACCTGTTCTTGTAGCCCCTGCATTTATTTGGTAAATACAATTGAGTTTCTGGTCAATGGTAACCCCCCAGGATATTGATATTGGGAGATTTGGTGATGGTAACACCATTGAATGTCAAGGGGTGGTTAGATTGTCTCTTATTGGAGATGGTCATTGCTTGGCATTTGTGTGGTATGAATGTTGCTTCCCACTTACCATCCCAAGCCTGGATATTGTCCAGACGTTGTTGAATTTGAACATGAACTGCTTCAGCATCTGAAAAGTCACAAATGGTGCTGAACATTGTACAATCATTGATGAGCATCCCCACCTCTGGCCTAATGATGGTGGGAAGGTCTTTGAAGCAGCTGACAATGGTTGGGCCTAGAACACCAACCTGAGGAACTCCTGCAGAGAAGTCCCGAAGCTAAGATGACCGACCTCCAGCAATCACAACCTTCTTCCTTTGTGCCAGGTATGACTGCAACTGGCAGAGAGTTTGCCCTCGATGGCTATTGATTCCAGTTTTGCTAGTTTTTAATGCCATACTCAATCAAATGCAGCCTAGATGTCAAGGCCTGTCACTCCCGCCTCACCTCTGGAATTCAGCACTTTTGTCACTGTTTGAGTAAAGGTTGTTATGAGGTCAGGAGCTGAGTAGTCCTGGTAAGCAAACTGCTTGTCAGTGAGCAGGCTGTTGCTATCCAGATGCTACTCGATAGCATTGTTGATGACATCTTCCATCACGTTTCTGATGATCGAGAGTAGACTGATGTGCCATTTGTTGGCTGGATTGGATTTGTCCTTTTTTTTGTGTATAGGATATACTGGGCAATTTTCCACATCGTTGGGTAGATACCATTGTTGTAACTGTACCAGAAGAGGTTGGTAGGGAATCACCAAATTCTGGAACATAAGTCTTCACTAATGTTGTGGCATGTTGTTGGGGCCCATAGCCTTTGCACTATCCAGTGCCTTCCTCCATTTCTTGATATCACGTGAAGTGAATTGCAGCTGAAGACAGGGTCCTATGATGTTGGGGACCATGGGAGTCATTTCGTCCACTTGGCACTTCTGGTTGAACATTACAGCAAATGTTTCAGTCCGATCTTTTGGACTGATATGTTAATGCTCTTTCATCATTGAGGATGGGGATATTTATGAAGCTGTCACCTCCAGTGAGTTCCACCACCATTTACAATTGGATGGGCAGGACTGCAGAATTTAGATCTGATCCATTGGTTATAGGATTGTTTAGCTCTATCAGTCACTTGCTGCTTATACTGTTTGGCATGCAAGTAGTCCTGTTTGGTAGCTTTACTAGGTTGATAGCTCATTTTTAGGTATAGCTCGTGCTGCTCCTGGCATGCCCTCCTGCACACTCCATTGAACCAAGGTACATCCTCTGGTTTGACAGTAATGGTCAAGTGGAGCATGTGCCCAGCTATGAGCTTGCAGATTATGCAAAGTACAATTCAGCTGCTGTTGATGGATGCAGTCTTGAGTTGCTAAATCTGTTCAAAGTCTGTATTATTTTGCACAGTAATAATACCACACAACACGATGGGAGATATTTTCAATGTGAACTGGGACTTCGTCTCCACAAGGACTGTACAACGGTCACTCTTACCAATACTGTCATGGACAGATCCATCTGCAACCGGCAGATTGGTAAGGATGAGGTCAAGTATGTTTTCCCTCTTGTTCATTCCCTTACTACCCATTGCAAGTTCAGTCTAGCAGCTATGTCCTTTAGGACCCCACCAGCTTGATCAGTAGTGCTGCTGCCAAGATATGTTCTTGGTGGTGGACATGGACATATCTTACCCAGAGTGCATTTTGCGCCCTTGCCATCCTCAGTCCTTCCTCCAAGTGTTGTTCAGTGTGGAGGAGTACTGATTCATTAGCCAAGGGAAGATGGTATGTGGTAATTACCAGGAGATTTTATTTGCCTATGTTTAATCTGAAGCCACGAGACTTCATGTCTGAAGTCAATGTTGAGGACTCTCAGGCATCTCCCTCCCAACTATATACCACTGTGCCGTCACCTCTGTTGGGTCTCTCCTGCCGGTGGGACAGGACATACCCAGTGATGGTGGCACCTGCAACATAGTCCTATTCATGGAATCATACCTACAGAGCTTTTGGTCATTTAACACAGCGTCCTGTTCGCATGCCCACTTGTCTGTACTCAACATGCTGCAGTGCACCAGTGAATCACAATGCAAACTGGAGGAACAACATCTCCTCTTCAGACGAGGCACTTTACAACGGATTTAATGTTGAGTTCAACACCATCAAATTGTGAACCAACTCCCACTCCTTCCTTCTCTTTTAGCTTGACTTGTTACATTCTCTGTCATCATGTCCTCTCTCCCCTTCGCCCACCCTAGTGGGACTGTCTGTTCTTTCGAGTCTAGCAGTCAGTCGCACCATTGTTCTACCATTCTCACATTCTGATCAATTAATCTGAACTATGAACATCTTTTCTCCCCCAGCACTCTGCATTCCACCCCACCCCCAACTATAGCATAAATGCTGCCTCCTCCATACTTAAGCTCTGATGAAAAATTATCCAGACTCTAAACATTACCTTGTGCAGTCTCCATAGATGCTGCCTGACCCACTGATCTGCAGCGTTTGTTGTTTTCAGTTTGGGCTGTTGCTCGACTAGCCTTTGAGACTGCTTTCCCAATTTTGGCACTAGCCTCTAGATGTTAGTACGGAAGACCATGCAGGGTCAACAGACCTGTTTTTCTGTCATTGTTTCTAGGTGACTAGGTCAATGCTAGGTGGTCCATCCAGTTTCATTTCTTTGTTGAGACTTCATAGCGAATGTTACAACTGGGCCATTTCAGAGGGCAGTTGAGTGTCAACCACCTTGCTGTGGCTGTGGAATCGCATGTATATCAGACCAGATAAGGATGGAAGCTTTCCAGCCTTGAAGATATTAGTGGGCTAGATTGGTTTTTCTGACAATCAGCAATGGTTTCGTGGTCATCAGTAGATTCTCAATTCCATATATCTTCTGGCAGATTCAAATCCTGTCATCTGCCATGGCAGGATTTGCAACCAGAACGATAATACCACTAGGCCATTGCCTAATTAGCTATTCTAACAAGCGACAGTTGTTTTAATATGGTAAAACAGCATTTCAGCACTGAAAAGGTGACTTGCAAACATGGTTGGTTACAGAATTGCAATGAATAATTTAATTCTTGAAAGAATCAGGGAATTTCAATAGCATTTACAAAGAATCATGCGATGGATAAGGCAGCATAGTGGCTCAGTGGTTAGCACATGGAGCCAAGTTCAGTTCCATGCTTGGGTGACTTTCTGAATGGAGTTTGCAAGTTCTTGCTGTGTCTGCGTGAGTTTCCTCTGAGTGCTCTGGATTCCTCCCACAGTCCAAAGATGTGCAGATTAGGTGGATTGACCATCGGAAATTACCCCATATTGTGCAGGCTAGATGGGTTAACTCTGGTAAATGTGAAGTTATGGGGATAGGGTGGGAGGCTGTTCAGAAGATCAGTGTGGACCTGATGGGCCGAATGGCCTCTATCGGCACTGTAGGCATTCTATAATAACCTTCAGCTAGTCAAATCCTAAAAGAGTGTTTTAACATGTTTTTACTTTTTTTCAAAAGGATATCATCTTTACTGTAGTTTAGATATACCACATATAGGAGATGGAAGAAACCAAGAAAACATCATGGGATTGCTTCCTTGTAGCCATTGCTCTCCTCTGTAGAGTTTCTGTTCACTGAGGACGTTATAGCCAAGGTTAATGAAGAAAAATTGATCTGGTCTGATGCTGTCTTGTCCAGGGCTTCTTTGTCCATCTTTCATCTCTCTGTCCTCCACGTCTCCAAAAAAAGTTATCAGACAGAAAATACTGCCAGTCCACAATAGTATCCTACCTTTTTCTTTCTCTTCTGCCTGTTGACCTCCAGGTTATTCCTGTCAGATTTTGGCAGATGTTGAGACTTGTGATGATTATGAGGCTTGGGTCCCACCCCAGTATGTCAGGGCAAACAGCTTACTGGGCCCCATGCTAACCTTTTGCCCCAACTGAAAATTGATGCTATTAACTAATATGTGGACTGATTTATTTTCCAGAGAAAATCTTGTCTGATGAGCAGCTGAATCAGCTTCAAGAGCTCCTATGGAATGGTTATTGGGCATTCGAATCCCTCACCATTCGTGACTATAATGACATGATTTGTGGGATCTGTGGAGTAGCACCCAAGCTCGAGGTAGCACAGAGAAGCCCTGAGAATATTCTTGCACTGAAAAATGTTGAGGTATATTTAAATATTAGTGACTTGATCATTCAGATTTTATGAATTTTCTGGATACTCATGTAGCCAACTTAATTGGAAGAACCAGTTTGTCTTCATGTTCCACTGCCTCTGATTATTTCAGTCATCTAAAACTTACGTCCAGATTATTGTCTTGCAATTATCTCTCGATGTCTGATGTGTACAAATTATTGATTTGGATGAGATTTTGCTGAGCAATTGATGACCTGAATATATTTTTCTCCTAATGTCTGTTGATTTGACTGTAAATCACTTTTCGTTTTCTCAGAGTAATATGAACCTATCAGAAATAGCATAGCTATCTACGTTCTGGTCATTCAATGTATTTGGTATCTCTATCCAATTTGACAAGCTTCAGAGGCCAGAGGAAAGGAAATGAGCTGCATTGACAAAATAATTGGATATCATTGAAGGAAGGAGATGCTATTAATTTCAACAGGAGTCATTTAATTAAAGCCATAAATATTGGTCCTGACATTGCTATCAACTTATTCTTGATTGTACATGCTCTTCTCAAAACACAACTCAATTTCTCATTTTACTTCTGCCACCGATGGTGAGAGAAGGTAACGTTTTCACCCTTGTTGGTCTGTTCATCAACAATATATCTAAAAAAACTGATGAACAAATTTCAGTAAAACTTGGTTTGCAGGTAGGGTATGGACCAAGTGAGAACTGATGAGTTTTTGTCCAAGATGCGGGTCTGGATCCTGGAATTTTTTTTAAAGGGTCCATTAACATTGGGAGATGAGATGAATTGACTTTCTTATTAAGAGTGCTGTTTGTTTTAGAATGTGTTATATTGTCTCAACTGTTGTGTAGAATTTCTGTCAGCTGCCCAGATGTGAGTAAAATTTCCAGAGTAATTTGTGGATTAGCCTGACGTCTCAGTGAGATGGAAACTCTCATAAAAAGCTTTTTTTCCAGTTTTGTAGTGATAGAGGAGCAACCATGTAGGGAACATTCCTGAGAAAGAGCTGTATAATTGTTGTAATCATTCAGGGGATACGGACACCACTGGCTGGGCCGGCATTTTTTGCTTTGTCCCTAGTTACCCTTGAGAAAGTGGTAGTGGGCTGCTATCTTTAAATGCTGCAGTCCATTTGATGTAGGTAGTCCCACAATGCCGTTAAGGAGGGTGATCTAGGATTTTGATCCAGTGACACTGAAGAAACAGTGATATATCACTAAGTCAGGATGGTGGGTGGCTTGGAGGGGATCTTGCAGGTGGTACAATTCCCATGTATCTGCTGCCCTTGTCCTTCAAGATGGTAGTGGTCATGCAAGAACATTAACACAGTGTGAAAAGACCATAAGATATTGGAGCAGAAATAGGCCATTCGGCCCGTTGCATCTATTCTGCCATTCAGAGATATTGTGGCTGAATTTATAATCCTTTCCCCATAACCTATGATTCCTTTACTCATTAAAAATCTGTCTGTCTCAGCCTTCACTATACCTAACTGCCCAACCCCTACAGCTGTCTATAGTAAGTAATTCCACAGATTCACTGCCCTCAAAAGAAATTCGTTCTCATCTCTATCCTAACTGGTGACCCCCTAATGGAGGCATGCACTATATTGCGTGCCCTCTCACTTGTTAACCATGTTTTTGCCTTTCCTAAAGTTTTTTTTATCTTGTACAAATCCAAACCTAAATATGTAGGTAAGTAGTCAAAGTGTTAACATTGGTCTGTTCACAACTAAGATGAATCCTCTAACCATCCAATATCCACAGGTAGGATTGATGTTCTGCATTGGGACTGTAGCTGCTATTTTGTATACCCCTTTTAACTTCCTAGCCATGATTTGAAATCACCACCACCCCTTCCCCCACCCCCACCCAGGTGATGGATGTTAAGTTGACATGTTTAGAATGCACATGACATTAACCAATTGTGTACCTTTTGTCTTTTCATTTATATTTCTCATTTTCCTTTTCTAACATCTTTTCTAGTTTACATGGCCTGACTTTCCTACCTCAGATGAAGTAAACGTGGAGGATTTTTGGTCCACAATGGAGAATGAAGCCATAGAGCAAGCAGTATTTCCATCCAGTATCCCTATCACAAAATTTGATGCATCCATAATTGCTCCATTTATACCACCACTCCTGAGGGCACCTGTTGTAGTTAATAGTGAGAAAGATAAAAACCCTCAACCACAGCCAGTTGCTGGTAAGACACACTTGCCTTGTAGATTTAAATTTGGCCTTTCTTCACAGGTCTCCAGCCTTGATGAAGGACAACATGAAGGCACTGACCAAAGGCACAAGGATTTCCTGATAACTTTTTTCTGAATTGTAACAAAGCAAAAACTACGAATTAGTCATTGTTAGTCAAAGAATTAGTCATAGTATATTCCAGACATTTCATTTTGGTTAATACTTTGTATACTGACTAACTAACAATGAATTATTGCTAGATAATTGATATATGATTATGCTATAATATTATGCATTAGCTGTGAGGCATTCAGAGGACCTCACTATTCATTGGATACTTTGCAGCATTAATATGGTTTCAACAAGGATGCTAATAACGATTTATCCTTGAGAAAAGTACTAAAAGTGGAAATGTTATTTTAAATATAGATCTTTAATTTCATTTACGTCATTTGGAGACCTTCTTAATTGATCTGCCATAAATTATATGCCCGCTCTTCTTTTCAACAGGAAATCCAAGAATGCTGGTAAGATTGTTGCACGATGGAGTTTTCAAACCAGAGGAGCTCAACTCCTACAGTGAAGATGAAATAAAAAACTTGCTAATGTCATGTGATATCCCATTTCACCCCAATGACTCCAAGGTAAGTTATCTGTACACAAAAAAAGGTGAACCTAGAAAATTCAGCATATGAGGCTCAATTCTACCTACCAGTCGCATTCCCTGCAATTCATTTGCTTCTCACTGTAGTCTTTTTATTAACTCAAATTAGTACCTTTGTTCTCCATGCAGATAAGGGAATCTGTACAATTTAATGTAGAATATTTTAGCTGATTGATTAATTAGTGCACTCAAGGTGAATCCCTTAAGTAGGATCAATCCCTTTTAAGAGGGCACAATCATATTACAGGCGTTTTTCAACCAAACTACTTATGCTGACACTGTGCTGTACCAGAGGAATAACCACTGAGAACTGACATTTTGACTAATTGCCTGACTTATTCTTTAAACTTCAGCATATCATCCTTACCATTTTTATCATTTGGCTGGGTGATGGCGTAGTGGTATTTTCACTAGACTATTAATCCAGAGACCCAGATTATGGAATTGTAATTCAATAATAATCTGGAAATAAGATTTTAATGATGACCATGAAACAGTTGTCAGGGGAAAACCCACCTGGTTCACTAATCCTCTTCAGGGGAGGAAACCTACCATCCTTACCTGGCCTACATGTGAATCCAGACCCAGAGCAATGTGATTGATTCTTACCTGCCCTCTGGGCAATTAGGGATGTGCAATGCTGGTCTAGCCAGTGACATTGATATCCATGAATGAGGAAAAAAAATTGGGCAGTGGGAGGAATATTTCTCCTTTTGGAATAATAGTACTGCAAAACTTGATGTGGTCATTGTTTAGAGATTTATTTAAAATATATGTGCAGATCTTGAAAGATAGTTTTATTGCTGGGTGAAATCCCAGGTATTTTAGGGGAAATTTTTCCATTCTTTCTTTCAGTTTCAAAAGATGAACATTGAAGTGAAAATTAGAGGATGAAAAATCAAGATAAATTTAGGGAAGAGACTCTTTCAATCAGATTTTTAGTTTAATCATAAACCTCAAAAAAAAAATGCAAGAGACTAACTGGATTAAATTGCCAACCCATAATTTTTGACTCTATAGCTGCCACTTTGCAGACCTGAATAGTATTCTGAAAGCCATGTAATTTCCCATAACCTTGTAATATTCTGATGCTATTTTAACAGCAAAATATATGGTTAGCTTTTGTGGGTGGATTTTGTGCTGGAATACGTTGACTACTTAAAACTAACGGTGAATGAAAGCTCACCACCAATGTATTTTGAAGCACAATTTTTCTTTTAAAGCTTGACTGAAATCTAAAAGCATTTGTGCTAAAATCTAATTTAGTAGAAATAAAACAAAAACCACAAGAGACACTCCACAGGTCTGGCAGCATCTGTGGATAGTGAAACAGTTAATCATTCTTCAGAACTGATGCTGCCAGAACTGCAAAGTTTCTCCAGCACTTTGTTTTTATGTCACAGTTTGAGATCCACAGTGTTTTGCTTCTGTTTAATTTAGAAGTTGTACATGAATGATATATTGTATGCGGTGTATCCATTTTGTTACTAAGACTTTGTTTTTTAACTTGTTAGTGGGATGTAGATGTCACTGGCTAGGTCAGACTTTTCTTGTCCAAACCTAATTGACAACTGGAGAAGTGGTAGTGAGCTTCCTTTTGAACTGCTAAATTCTGTGAGGTGTAGGAATACCCTGAGCACTGTCAGAACAGGATTCCCAAAGTTTTGATCCAGCAACAGTGAAGAAGTGGAGATTTTGTTCCAAATCAGGACAGTGCGAGAGCATGAGGTTAATGTTTCCTATGCATTTGCTGCTCTAGTTCTTCTAGATAGTAAGAGATCACAGCTTTGGGAAGTGCTGTAGAAGGAACCTCAATGAGTTATTTGTGTAGTTTGTAGATTGTACACACTGTGGTTGCTGTACTTTTATGTTTAAGGGCATGATGGATGGGGGACCAATGAAACAGGCTGCTTTGCTTTGTCCTGGATGGTGTCAAACTTATTGTGTGTTGTTGGAGCTGCTTCTCTAAGCAAGCGAGAAGTATTCCATCATATTTCTGACTTTGGAAGTTACTGATTAAGAACTCGTGGCCTCTGATCTTCTCTTGTAGGCACAGTATTTGTATGGCTGGTTTAATTCAGTTTCTTGTTGGCAGTCAGAAGATTTTGTTATTCATCACATAATCATAGGATGTTTCAGTTTACTTCTCTAAATTTAACAAAAATTAGTTTTCACCAATTAACCACCTGAAACCTGGTGAATGTTACTTTAAACTTATTTGAAAGGAAACCCAACTTTCAGCAACCTCCATAAAATCTGTAAATGACCATCGAAAACAGTATTGCAGTCAAACATATTAGTTTTGAATGTTCGAAGTACCCACATGGACTGCATGTATTCAAGAAGGCAATTCCCCAACAGCTGCTTTAGGAGATTTGCGAACGGACAGTAAATATTTACCTTGCCATTTTGCCCATATCGTGTGAACAAATAAAAAAATGTACTCCTTGCCCTTTTATAGTACTCAAATCTTTTTCACATCTAAAGAATTTATGTTTTAATTTCTGGTCTTCAGTATCTGATGATCTCTCCTTTGAGTCTTTGTACATGTAAACTTCAGCTTTCTCAGCTTCAGATAACTCTTTGTGGTTTCAACTGAACAATTCTGGTCTGAAACTTAAGGATAAACTCCTTACGCTGACGTAACCCATTTCTTAATTGGTTTAAACTGTCTTAGTTCTTCAGCCAAAATTACATCACACATGAAGTTTCAACCATGACTTCTGCAAACCAATGCCAAAAGGGCTTTCCAAACCAGAGCTTATGGGTGTTGCCCCAAGACAAAAAAAAAATCTTCTAATTGAAACCTAATCCAAAGAGTTTTCTGTGCTGCTTGTAAAATTCTCTCAATGTAAACAAAGTTCTCTTTAGACTCCAAGAATTACCTCTCTCATTATTGCTTTACAAAAGAAACCACCTTGGCTGTAAGAATGCTTATAAGATAATAATTGAACACCTAGACCCTCAGATGAAAACCTCCATGCCACTCGTTAAAGTCCAAACTGTGAAATAAACGATACTTATATTTATATGAATCTAACATCTTGTATCACACTATCTGCCTTATCTCTTTCCCCCTTGAATATCTTGAAATCTTCAATCAAATCACCCACTGACCTTCTGAATTTTGGGTGTTCATCCCTAGTTTGTGATATCTCCTCTCATAATGCAACTTTTGGAGTCCAGGTATTGTTCTAGTAAAGCTACTATGTGTTCTGGTTGAGATCAGATAGAGAAGGAAACTCATTAAGCCAATTTTTGTTCAATATTTCTTATTCTGAAGCGTAATATGCATGCCTAACCAAGTAAAATTAATCGTGGCACTATCCCAGTAAATTGAAAAAGGGCTCTCTGAGCAATTTAGTTTTGCTTTAGTTTCTACACAGAGCGAGGTTTACAGATTATTCTGTTCAGATGAACCTGATGAGAATTAGTTTCTTTGCAAAATCTTCGTATGTGAAATAAAAACTGCAATAAAGCCTTGCTATTATACCATATAATTATAATCCAAATGTTAACTTTTTCATTTCAGAATCATCTATGAGTGAGGTTATTGCCTGAGATTCAATAAGAGAATTTGCTAAAATTGCTGAGAAGCAATAGATTAGAATAAAGTAACATTTCTGTCCAAAAAAATTGCTTTTAGTTCAAAATTAACCAGGATAATTTTCTAACTAATTAATATTCTCAAGTATGATCAGAAGTTGAATGGGATAATTAATTAAATACTATTATTTGGCATTTGAATTTAACTATCAGACTAAAAACTTCCTTGTTCATGTCCATTTCAAATTGTCCGATTTGGCATCCAAACAACTCAAAAGAATTTTGTATGGTTTTTTGAGTATGAAGAAGAGATTTAAGCTGGACTGTTGCCTCCCCAAACTGTTCCAGTGTGTTGTGAACTTCAACTGTGACCCATGTAATCCAGCAAGCACTTCACATCTGTGTGATGAAGATTGCCAAAAGGTTCAAGTTGTTAACCAGTGTCAGATTTCACATTAGCAATCTACAATGAATTCTGCAAGGAAAACATCATTCTCAAAAAAGCAGTGACAAATGCAGAACCTCCGTCTGTCTGCCCAGTAGTTATCTACCGAAAGGCCACTATAGATTTAGATGTAGTGTTGAGGGTTAACGTATGCCTTGTTGCCACCACCTATTTTCTATCATGTCTTTATACACAGTGGCTCGGTGGTTAACACTGTTGTCTTATAGCACCAGGGACTCTGGTTCAGTTCTATTCTCGGGTGACTGTCTATGTGGAGTTTGCATTTATTCCCTGTGTCTGCATGGGTTTCCTCTAAGTACTCCAGTTTCCTCCCATAATACCAAGATGTGCAGGGTAGGTGGCTTGGCCATGATAAATGTGGAGTCATAGGGATAGGGTAGGGGGTGGGTCTGGGCAGGATGCTCTTCAGTGGGTTGGTGTGGACTCAATGGGCCAAGTGGCCTGCTTCCACACTGTAGGGATTCTATTCCATTCTGTTCTATTCTAACCAGACCCATGTAGCTTGAGCTCTTCCTCTGCCTGTTCGCGTGTGCATTTGTTTGCCACTCAGGATCTGATTCTATAAATCTATTTCAACTTTTGGTCTTTAATTTTAAATTATTTTCTCCTTACTTCTCCTAAACCCACTCCTATTCTCATTCCTCCTTTCACTACTCCACTCTTGTGTACTCTGACATTCCAGTTGTCCTCCCTTAGCACTGACTCATCACAAGCAGCAACTCAATTGCCCTGTCCTACACCCATTGTCATTTCTTCAGCCCAGTGCTTCAATTGTGGCTTAACTTTGTTAGCCTTCTTCCCGTCTAACTCACTTTTCCAACTGTTGACTCTGTGGACTCTACCAGCAGGTAAGCTCTCAACATCCAACCATACATTTCACTCAAGTTTATGTATTCATTTGTGAACAAGGCCCGTGCCATTCGTTAACTTGTTGTGGATGAATGCATTGACATTAGTAAAAATTTGACTGAGCTGTGATGATACATCTGCCCTAATTGAAGCTTTCCTGCCTAGCTATATCATCCACTCCTTTCCCAGTCAAGACCATTACCGTGCCCATAACGTCATCAGCATAGGAAAAACTTCTTACCCATGTATTTGTAGCCAGAGAATCACCTGCCAGAGAATCACCTGCCTTGTCTTCCTGCTCCCACACCATTGGCATTGATGTCTCCCAAGGAAATGTCTTTAAACTCCCCTTGTTTTTCACTCAAATGCTGCATCTCAGTGACGTTACCTGAAAGCACACTGTTAGTTTTCACATGTACGTTAATGGCCCCAGCTGTACCTCATGATAATTTCTCTTGACTCCTGTTCTGTTGATAAATTATCAGAATCTCCAAAATATTGGAAATACTATTTTCAATATTGTTTTAAATTCTGTTCCCTGGCTACTGACTCCATCCCTCTCCCTGCCATTACTCTTCAGAATAAAATTATCTGTTCACAATATTTGGTCCAGAAATTAACATTGGACTTTCAATTCAAGCCATCACTACAACTGTTTATTGCCACCATTGCAACTTCAAATTCTATCAGTTTATCTGCAATTGAAATCCTTCTTTGTACCTTTGTACCTTTGTTACCTCTGGACTCGATTAATGCAACACACGTATAGCAGGTCTCCCATATTCTACCTTCTGTAAACTTGATGTCTTCCAAAACATTGCTGCTTGTGTCTTGCAGCAAGGCATGATTCCAGTTTGCCCCGAAGATCACTGACCTACTTTGACTCCCAGTCAAACAATGCCTTCTTCATCAAGTAATTTGTCCTTGCTTTCAAGTCTCTTCATGGCCTCATCAATGCCTTTTTCTGTAAACACCTCCAGCCCCACAATCCTCAGGTATTTGCACTTCTAGATTTTCTGTAGATCCTCAGTTTTAATTGCTCCTGCACTTGTGTTTGTACCTCAAGTTACTAATGTTCTGAGCTCAGGACTAAAGGTAGTCTTCACGTATTCTGCATTCTGAAAACCTCAACTTTTAAGTAGAGTATTCAGAATGTTAAGAATTGAGTTGGGTCTTTACAGCATTTCCCGAGCAGAGAGGAAAAAAAATTACTTGTACCAGTACCTTGTAAGTTGAAATACAGTATTTTTAATGGCCACATTATCCCTACACTGGTAGATGAAGAAAACTGTTAAAATAGAGAAATACATATAGTTAAAAAGTGGAGCGTCCAGAAGTGGACCCCCACAGCACTGCTATCCCTGGTCTCTACTGGGTCACCTTTGGTCATCAGGCTCCAGGTCACTTGATGTTCCATTGCACTGGATGGTGGCATCTTTTTGATGATCTGCAGCACCCCGTCTTGTTTGCAGTTAACATTTCTGTGGTCCACTTGGGCTGCCAGCCCTTGGCGCATGGTCTCTCTCTTTCCCAACAGTGATCAGGACCATGGGCTTGACCGGCAGAGCACGGCTCTCAGCCCAAGGGGTAACAATGGGTTTTATCTGGGTTGGGAGCAGAGAGTCATGGTTGTCCTGATCTAACAGAATTTACTGACTGCCTGCATTTTCTGATCACCTATAGGATGCAGTCTGCCACCAAGGCACTGCACTTGCACCAGCAGTCTCTGAGGAGGAGGGGAGTGCTGCCAAGTTAGGTCATGCCCAGCCTCCTCCTGGCTGTGGGGAAAGGCAGCGTTCACAGACAGCCCAGGTGGGCAGTTCTGTCATTTCCAAAAGGATCCTTGGAGGAATGGAGGTCTTTTTGGGTTGCTGTCTAGTCATAACTGTGTCGAGATGAGGATGGGGGAGTGGATGCTTGGATGGCCTTGGACTAGCAGGTGGTGGCTTCCTTGGCAGACCTGGAGCAGTGTTGTCGAATAAGGAGAGGCTGCAAGTCAGGAGACTGGGCACTGGTAGTAGCCTCAAATCTGGAGGAGAGTACGGATATGACAAAATTATGCCAATTGTGTTAGTTACTGTACTACAGGTGTTAACATTAAAACTAATCTAATGACATTTGATAAGGTTTTCAGTTACAATAACTAGCTCCTTTTAAAGTGAAATAATACAAAACGAGGCAATATCAAGGAGCGTGGACAGGGTGTTTAGAAAGCAGCTATGGATGATAATGGAATAGTTTAGGTTAGATGGGCTTCAGATTGGTTTCACAGGTCGGCGCAACATCGAGGGCAGAAGGGCCTGTACTGCGCTGTAATGTTCTATGTTCTATATATTTCCCTTAGTTGAAAGGTCAGTAACAAGGGGACATAATTTTAAGGTGAAGGGCAGGAAGTGTCGAGGAGATTTGAGGAAAAAGCTTTGCACCCAGATGGTGGCGGAAATCTGGAACTTACTGCCTGAGACCATAGTTGAGGCAGGAAATCTGGCAATCTTTTTTAAAAAAGTACTTAGATGAGCACTTAAAACATGATAACATTCAAGACCACATGCTAGAATGTGGGGCGAGTTTTGTTTTTGGAGTAAACTTAATTGGACAAAGTGCCTCTTCTGTACTGTATGATTCTCTGAAACATTGACTTTCAGTACCCTCCTCATACCTTTCTACCACACTTTCCTCATTTAAAAGGCTTTGTGTAACCTACTAATTATCTAACCTCCTATCTCCTATGTAGAACGGTGCCATACTTTTATAATACACCATTGAAGTGCTTTGAACCATTTATGTTAAAGGTGCTATAAAAATATGAGCAGATATTAATGCTGTTCTGTATTCTACAGGAATGGAGTGGTGGAGATTGAATGCAGTGTGTTATATAGAGCATATGTTATAGGCCTTGGTGTACGATACCTGTTTTGTGTTAGTGAAACCTTCTGTGAAGCATAACTGCAAGCATGTTTTATCTTACCCAAATTCTAGGTTTGTATAATTGGCACATTGCATTGGAAGTTGTGTGGCCATTTGAATTTTCTGTTTGTGACAGATTTTGTTTTAGGCTTCTGACAAGCATTTTTCCATCAATAGCAGTAGCAGTTCTGTAGTTTCTTTCACTGCTCCCCATTACCTGATGTGTAAATGTTCTGTCCTTTGTAAAAGTGAAGCCATACAGAGCTGACGATGCTGCCTTCCTGCTCCTACGACGCTGCTTGGCCTGCTGTGTTCATCCAGCTCTGCACCTTGTTGTCTGCAAAATTAATAGCATTTTTGCTACATAAGCTTGATTTGGCTAGGCCAGACACTTAGTCATATAGCACGGAAACAGACCCTTCCGTCCAACTTGTCCATGCCAACCAGCTGTCCTAAACTGAACTAGTCCCATTTGCTTGCGTTTGGTCCATATTCTCTCTCAAACTTTCGTATTCATGTACTGTCTAAATGTCTTTTAATGTTGTAATTGTACTCACTTCTACCACTTCCTCTGGCAGCTCGCTCATTTAGCTATAATCGTTGTAGTTAATTAAGACATTAACGATCAAGGTCCTAGCTATCAAGTGATCTGCTGAGTGGTGTGTCAGTGGGGATTGATCTTAATTTTTACAATTTCAATGGAAACAAATTCCGGCAAGAGACAATGGAGAAAATTTGGGAAACAACACGTTTTTTCCGTCATGCTCGCAATTAACAAACAGCTTTGATTTAAAAGTACACCAGAAAAGAGCCTCAAAAATAGATGTTTTCTGGCTGCTTGCCAAAATGTTTTCAAAATATAGCTTGTCTCATTGCCAAAACAAACAACTAATAAATATGCTTTGACTACTCTTTGTCATATTTGCCTGATACATATTTTGCAGGAACATCTGTGTTCTTCATTATTCGCTTTATATTCCTATGTGCTAGATGGATCAACTGCACAGGTCCAACCTCCATGTGATGTGACAGGAGGAAAAGTTTATAAGTTGTGTTTGCATCAGGTAAGGAAGATGTAGAAAAAAGTAAATATTACTGTGTAATTGAAATATAGTTATTAAAATAGCTTCTAGGTGTTGCCTTTTATTTAACTCTCACTCATCCATTTTAAACCTGTCAGCTTTGAACATTACAACCATCATCTCCTCCATTTAACACTGTCCCAATTAACAGTTATGCTTGTCTGTGTCACAGGTAATGAGCTATCTTTATGTAGAATGGAAGATGGTCCTTTCAGTTGTGGAGGAGAGACACTGTTGCACTGTGATAGGAACTTTAAACGTGTTGATGTGTCATATGCTTTTGACAAATTATGGTGTTGTAAAAAAAAAAATCAGAGGCATCTGTGGATTCAGTTTTAGTGGATATTACTGTCTTGTTGCATTCACAAATTCATTCCAAAAGAAAATGTATCTGTTCCAGGTTTTGAAGTGTTGGATGTACAAGTCAAGAGCTAATGTGTATATTTAACATTTTAATAAGCCTTTAGACGGAGTATTGTGTGTGATAGTATGCACACTCTCTTGTGAGGAGGATCTAATTATTAGGAACAATGTAGGAATTGAAGGCATAGTTTGAATTAGGAATGAGGTTCTGCTGAAGGAATTTGAGGTGCTGCAATCCAAATTAACAAACACCATTTTAAATGTAATGATTTCTGGATTATTACCTAAATCATTCAAACATTGGCAGGCTCAAACAGATCAAAATATTTGATGTGCAGCTTGGAAAGTTGAGTAGAAACAAGGGTTTCAACTGATAGGGAAGTGGCATTAATACTGGGAAAAGAAAGCTTGTTGTTCTGGGTGGGTTTCATTTCAACTGGACTAGGGGTAGTAGTTCTAATTTGCAACTTTTTTTTTAAAAGAAGACTTACTTTACATGAACAAGAATAAGCCATATAGTCCTTCAAACCTATTTCATCATTCAGTGAAATCATGGCTCAGTTTAGCTTAATTTCACGTAATCTCCTTTGCTCCACATCCCTTCAGGGAAATTTATAAATCTAAAGAGAAAAGCTAACACAGTTGAGCAATATAACAATTTGAGTAAAAGTGGGTAGACTGTGATAGCATAGATCATGCCTCAACAGTGAATAAAGTCAAATAAGGGGGAAAATGATTTAAGAAATAAAATTAATGTTGCGTAAAGCATTCAAACTAGATAGAGAAAGTCTTCATCCAAGTAAAGACAAATAGGTTTGAACTAATAGCCACAATGGATTGGTGTATGGTACCAAGGCTAAGAACTGACTATTCCAGAGTAATGGATGTTCAGAAAAGACAGATAGCAGGCATATTCTTGTTAATAAAGTGTGGAAAACAGACAGTAGCTTGCAGAATCAGGAAGTAGCATCAATCTGGGTTGAGTTAAAGAAGAGGGGCAAAAAACACTGGTGGCAATCATTTATTGATCCCTAACAGTTATTGTCAACTGTAAAGCGGGAAATTCAAGGTGTGAGTAACCGAGATAATGAAGTGATCATAGGGAACTTTAATTTTTATAAAGATTGAAATTGGCAAATAACTTGGAAGAAGAGAACATGGAATGCAGTTGAAACAGTTTCCTTGTGGCAATTCATTGTCAAACCAACTAAGCGACAGGCAATTTTATGTCTTGTCTTGTATGAAGCAGGGTTAATTAGTAAAGGATCCATTGGGAAGTCATGAGCAATTTTAATAAGTTAGTATTTCACATTAAATTTAAAAGTGACATTCTTAAGTCTGAAAATGAAGTATCAAACTTTAATAATGCTATTACATAGGTATGAGGGAAGAGTTGGGTGAAGTTCTTTAAATCTATAATGAACAAGTCACACTTTGAGGGTGGGATGTTTACAATATTTTCTTCAACTATTTTAAAGTTTAATTCCAATTTTCCTTTGCTGAAACACGCAAAACTCCAAGTAATCTCCTTTCATGTCTGTACCAGTCCTGCTCTTGGACTTATTCCCAAAGGTGTGTTCATGTGGATTGATTTTTATTTTCTCTTTGCCCCTCTTCCCAGCTGGAGAAATGAGTCAACTTCACCTAATTGCACCAAGTTCTGGAATAAGCCCGAATCCATGGCACAGTATGAAACAATTTCCTGCGGATCTAGGAATAAGAGTAGGCCATTCAGCCCTTTAACCTGTTCCACTATTCAGTGAAATGATGGCTGATCTGTGGCCTAATTCCATATACCTGCTTTGGTCCATACCCCTTCAAATCTTAACAGATTTAAAAGAAACTACTGATTTTGCATCCATTGCCATTTGTGGAAGTGAGCTCTAAGCATCTACCACCCTTTATGTTGAGAAACTGGCAATGAGGTACAGGTCTCTGTCCATAGGTGCTACCCTACCAACTGATTATTTCCAGCATCTTCTATTTTTATTTCAAGTTTTCAGCCTCTGCAGTATTTTGCTTTCCCACAAGATTTGCATGTTGTCTGAATGCCCCCTTTTCTTGGTTAGTCCAAATGCCATTTCCTTAACAACACAGTACTGAGTTTCTTTGGTGAGGTAAATGGGAGTGGCACTGGATGGGTATCACACTAGTTCTTCTCATTCTGCCTTTGCCTTAATGAAGTATATAGTTGGTAAAGAGCATCTCTGAGACAGCTGCGACTTGGAAAATCATTTTACATTGCATTCTCAGATTATTGCTTTGCTGTTTGTCTTGATGCATCAGCAGCATCTAAGTATGTATACTGCAGTGTGTAAAAGGTTTTTGAGTTGTGATCTAAATTTCAGGCCAACTTTAGCTCAGCAACCCAGCATTCCAACATTCCAGGTCTGCTCTATTTAAACTGTTTACTGTGGGGTATTAATGAAAAGCTATGTGACTGCCTTCTACGGGAATTTGCTTTAATTAAAAAGGCTTTTTTTCTTCTATGATTAATAATTATAATTCTAGCATTTAAAATGCAAATGCAAAAAGTTTGTGTGGTACGATTGAATTTAAGTGAAATCACAATGGCTTCTTTGACAGTATGTGTACACCATTTAGGTCAATGGAAGTGCATGGTTAATGAAGTCTAAATTCACCCTGTTTCACAGTAATGATCAATTGAAGGTATATTGTCTTGGCTACTTTTACAGAAACATGTTTAGAAATTATAATTGGGCAGCCGAGGATTATTATGGGCTCTTTTGTGTCTTAAAATTTACTAAAATAAAAATGACAAAATCCCAGAAGTGTACATTGGGAAATAGAACAGACGGAAGGTTCTAAATGTTTTTAAACAAACCAAACTGATTGATCATCAGTGTTAAGGACTGAGTGTGCTTTAAGGGGCTCCTTGCATATGTCACTTTGGCGCTATCATATTCTTTAGAAAAATCAGGATATTTACTTAATTTTTAGAGACTTAAAGCTGGGCAAGCAAAGAAACTTCAGTTTTATTTGTATCAATTACTAAAAAATGTTTCAACATTTTTCAAAATTCTAATGAACTGTTGGCTATTATCTGCTGGAAGATGGAATTCAAAAGTGAAGACAATTGCAACAAATCCTGCTCCAATTGAAAATTCTGAGAGAATATTTTATTTGGTTAAAAACATCAAGTGGTACGGATAAAAGGCAGATAAATGAATTTGAGTTACAGCCATGATCGGCTTGAATGATAGGTTAAACTTGAGGGCAGTATGGCCCTTATACTTTTGATCCTACTGGATGCGACAGCAGCAGAGGCTACGTCAATGAGGACCAGTTTTTCCCCTGAGCCTCCCTGTTATGTCCCCATCTTGCAGAAGTTACTAAGATTTGTAAGCCTGCCTCAGCCTTATAGAAACCTAATTTAATTGTATGTATTTTAAAAAGCCCATTCAAGTTTTTTTAGGTTTTAGATTTTTATTCTGATGTGTACAGGGGTACAATGAAAAGTGTATGATTTTCGCCACACAGTGCCACCTTGGGTACCAAAGTGCCTAGGTATTAAAAAAAAGCCAGGTACAAAGTAATAAGAGAAATGAGAGTTTAAAAGTTAAGCATTATTTCATAGAATTACAGAAAAACAAAGAAATAGGTTACAGTTTACATTAAAGTCTTTCGTAGTTTAATCTAGGAAAATAAAGGAATAAGCTAAAAGCGCAACAATCTTTGAATCCTCTGTTTATCTTGCTGTCTTTGAGACCTCGGCTGTCTGTTCTCAAAACAACCGCCACAGATACTGTTGCTGCTGAAACTGCCATCTCTCCGTTCTTGCCCCGGTGCCTCGGGAACATGCCCAGGCAGGATCCACTCACACCGAGCCAAGACACCGCCATAAGCCGCCAAGAGACCAACTGACATACTGCCGAGAAACCAGGCCTGGGACCCGCCACGAGATGCCAAGAGGCCAGGCTGACAGCCAGCACGAGCTGTCAAAAGACCAGGCCTGGGACCCACCTCAAGCCGCCGGGAGACCGGGCCCGGAGCCACTGAGAGACCAAAGGGGGCAAAAGAGGGAAAGAAACACAAGGAGCGGAGGAGCTCCAGTTGGAGCAGCCCACTCCGCTGCCATCTCGACTGGAAATGTGGCTTCGTAAGAACACTTTCTTGATTCCTGAGCTATTTTCTTTAAAGCATCTTCCAATACGTGAGCTTCTTTGGGATAAGTACCTCAGGGAGTTCACATTTTAGTCCTGTAACAACAAAATGATAATTAAAAGTTCTCTCATTTTGGCCTTACGTTGAGTGATTTCTTTCAATAAAATTACTATTAAATCTTCCTTTTAAAACACAGTGGAAATCTGTCCTATTTATCTTGTAGAAATAGAATTGGGTTCCAACACCTACAGTAAGGGAGTACTAAAACCTGTTCTTCAAATTCAAACCTAGTTGTATGAATGCTATATAGAATTATTTTTCTGTATTGTAATACCTGTAATTTTTAACCTACATTGCTCTGTTTCGTTTTATGAAAGTTAAAGAGATAACATACTTGCATTTATGTAGAGCCTTTCATATCTACAAGATGTTTTCATACCCTTCACAGCCAACGCTTTAAAATTACTCACAAGCACAGATGGCAGTCAATTTGCAAATAGCAAGCTTTCAAAAACAGCAAAATTTGGGTCAGTGTTTTTATGGTTTGCTTTGAGGGGTAAATGTTGAATCATAGAATCCTTACAGTGTGAAAACAGGCCCTTCGGCCCAGCAAGTCCACACCGGCCCTGAGAGCTTTCCCCTATAACCCACCTAATCTACACATCCCTGAACACTACGGGCAATTTAGCACGGCCAATCCACCTAGCCTGCACATCTTTGGATTATGGGAGGAAACCGGAGCACCCGGAGGAAACCCACGCAGACACACGGAGAATGTGCAAACTCCACACAGGCAAGTCACCTGAGGGTGGAATCAAACCCGGGTCTCTGGCGCTGTGAGGCAGCAGTGGTAACCACTGAGTCACATTATTGAGTTTGCATGCTGACAAGAAAATTTAGAGAAATTCCTGGTGGTGTTCAGATAGAGCGAAGAGATGTTTTTAACACCATCTTTTTAGATCACTGGCATTTGGTTTAACACCTGACACATTGAAGGCAATTTCAAATTACTACAGCTGTGGTTCAGTTTAAATTTTGTGCTGTAGTCCTGTAGTGTAACTGACAACTTAGGACCTTCTGAGTCTTCTGGTATACTGGTCAACATTTGACTGCCAGCAAACATTACTAAAACAGATAATAGAAGTCAGCATTTAGTTGTTTCCCATCCCTAATTGCCTTTTAAATTAGTGACCTTCTGTGCCATTGAAGGAAGCAGTGAAGAGAGAACCACATTCCTTTGGGTCTGAAATCATATGTAGGCCGTACCTGCTACGGATGGCAGATTTTCTTCCTGAGAGGACATTAGAACCCATGAGTTTTTACAGTAGTTAATTGCCACCATCACTGATACGAGCTTTATGATGTAGATCTGTTAATTGAAGTCAGATTTCATCAGCTGCCATGGAGAGATTTGAATCTGTTTCTCTACAGCATTGGCCTGGGCCTTTGGATTACAAGCCCAGTGACATTATTAAGCTGCTACTTCCCATTTATTAATGTTTAAAAATAGATGTTTTATATCTGTACAACAGTGGCTGCAATTCAGTAGAATTTCCTCAGCTGTATGCTGCATTGGGATACTTCGAGGTTGTAAAAGGTGCAGGTCCTTCATTTTTTTTTACTCCATCTTACAAATTGCTGAATCAAGCATCGCTGTCAATCACTTCATGTAAAATAAATTTTATCAAATTTTGTGATTAGGTTGTTTGTGGATCCAAGTATCTTGTGAGAAGAGAATCTGCACGTGACCATGTTGACCTGTTGGTATCTTCGCGCTATTGGCCTCCAGTGTATGTGGTTGATATGGCTCCATATGTTGCATTAAATGCAGATGTGCGGTATCCTGAAATTGCTGGACAAATATGGGGACATAAACAAGGCTGTTTTTCAGATCCACTGGAACCCCCAAAGGTTTGTATTGTATTTATGTACTACTAAAATTATTTGCAAGTTAATGCATTTTATGTACACATTGCCTGAAAACTAGTGGATTATGTTTCTTTCACTTTTTTTGTTTATAATTTGCATTTAAGCAGTTTCTAAACCAAAAATACCACTGGTTTTGCTTTGCATTCATTAGCCAGTTAGTATGAATTATGACTTATTTTTACCATACATTGTTGTTTTTAATTTTTTTCCCATGGATTATTTTCCAATATCTAACTCAGTTCATCAATTTAATCTCTTTGGTCACAACCCACTCTTTAACTGGCCTCATGATTGTCTGCTTTCTTCATCCAACTACTATCAACTCCGCTTATGCTAGATACTCACACTAAACTCCTCTTTTAAATCCATTAAACACATCTTTGATCAAACTTTCAGTAACTTCTTCAGGAATTAATTAGTCTTTTTACTGAAGAGGCTGTTGGAGCTCTGGTTTAACATTCCCTCGCCACCACATTGATGAGTCAGTATAGATCTTGTACTTGAATAGCTAGAATGTTATTTGAACTGATTTGGAGGCAAAATTTGATACCACTGAACCAAGATTGGTTAACATATTTCCTACGTGACTCTATTTGAAAAATCTGTGTGCTTTGAAATCTCTAGAGGATATGAGAGGCACAATGTACACATAAGCTTGTTTGAGTTTCTGTCAGTTCTTCCATTTTTGGCCTTGATTGTCTTGGACACTAAGAAGATTGCAGTACTAATGCATTTCCATATTTTTCTATTCTTTGCAAGGATAATACATTTCGTAGAAATATTGACATAGAAACAAGAATCATTCGAAAGCCACTCATTGACCAATTCAGGTTTCGGAGCTACAAAGCAGTATTGCAAACTAAAGTTGCTAATCATTTCCCAAATACCCACATGATTGATTCCATTTTTATTCTACTTGTATGTTTTCTTTCATTCTGCTTTTCAGAAGGTAATAGATAACGAAGTAGGCATATTAGAGCCCATTGGTGAATATTCTGCTAGTGGATCTAATATTGGATTCCTTTTCCAGCATGTGTCCTGTCCGGAGCTACTTGATCAACACTATGCTATGGATGTATCGCTAACAGAGAATAACATTCAACATCCTATCACCAAGTCCAGTGCTCGCAGAATTGTATGCCATGATACAGACCAGAGCACAGGAAAGAACACAACAGCCAGACACCATTCTATCAGTCTTTGCAGTGAACTAGAACCATACAGTGATGCACTCGAATCTATTCCAGACAGCAAGGTGCAAAATGTGCGGCAAAAGTCCATCACTTTTGAAAATGCCACTTACTATTTTCTATATAATCGTTTGGTTGACTTCCTCACCAGCAGAGACATTGTAAACCAACAGATCAATGAAGTGTTGCAGAGCTGTCAACCTGGAGAGGTGGTGATAAGGGATAGCTTGTACAGACTGGGAATAGCACACCTTAACACGGAGAGTGAAACTGAGGAGCTTGCATAACAACTGATCCTTAAAAAGAGTTATGGGAAATAATTTGCCAAGTAATGTATTTATTCAGTGCTTCTATTTAATTAAAAATATTGTGTTTGTGATTTCTTAAACCGTTTTGTTTCAAATCCTGTCAGTGATCATGGGTTGGGGAGGGATGGTTAGCTTTGATTTGGGTTCTGCCTGAGACTAAGTTACCACAGAACATTTGCTATTGGTAAAAAGAAACATGCTGCAGAATGTTTTTTGAATGTTTTCATACATTTCTGCACGAAACATGTTTGCGATGGAGTGAACCCTAACCACCCGTCACAGGCATATTTCCAAAATGTAAATGAAACATTTACAATAAACTGCAGAATTTCCTCTCATATTTTAATGCAGTCATCCCCTGCTCCAATTCAGTCTTGCAATGGAACATAAACTCTACTTTCACGGGCCATCACATGGATTGGGATTCGCACGATTTTATACGGTACAAAATTATCCTTATCAGCCATCCTGTAAATATGGCTGTGTAGCCATTTGCTCACCTTAAATGTTTGATGCAGAAATAGAGCACATGAAAGTTAACCTAGAATGTAGTGATGAACATGGGATCAAATCATTTTCTGTTGTTTATTGCACAAACTCGCAAGTGAGCCAAAGACTATTGGCTTCAGAACTGGGGAAAAAAAAGTCCAGTCTACCTTCAGTTACCATGGAAAGGCAATGTATATAACTTTTCACACCCTTGCTATGCAGTGACTATCTGAGTGGTATTTTTAACCCTGGAATCGCGTGAGTCCAAATAGAATTCTGTATTTACACAATTGAGCAGTGTTGTGTGTGAACTTGTGCCTATGAAATACTAGGTATGTAGGTCCTGTGTCCCAGTGACTGGATGATTGAATCAAACATATTCCTACAGGCTGTACTGAACCACCCCAGACTTGCAAAGCCCAAAACAAAGTGTCTGCTTTTAAATGTAATTCTACAATTGTGTCACCCTCACTAAGCAAATCTGAATACACTAACAGCCACAGTAACAATCAACTTAAGACAATCAGTTGAATTCATAATATGGCTCATTTATGTTTACTAGAAGCAAAATACATTCATACTCAGGTACCTGTTCTCTGCAAACAAAAGGGATATGTTCAAGCTTTGCACCTTTTTTGATTTGTCTCCAGAATGGAGAACCTATCGTTCCTGTTCATTTCTCCTTGGCAACACCTGAGAGTTGAATTTTGTATTTATCTTGAATGCAAGACAAAAGGTTTCGTGGTGTCTCTTCCAGCGATAGTCAACATCTGTACTATCGGGTGATTTTTTTTTTTGTTATTTGTTTTTGCTTGTGTGCTCATTCATTTGAGCAGCGATGATTCTAGTAAATAGAAGTGTTTCCCTTTTTGAGTATTTAGAATCAACATCAAGAATGAGAGATCCACAGGAATGCTGCCCTGTGTCTTGACGACTGTGCCCAAGTCTTTAAATGATTGTGCCCTTGATGATTTTCCATATGAGTACAATAGGCTTACTTCTGTGATTTACGAAGGATGATTTATTCGGTGAGTTATAGAAATCCCTAATAAACTATCAGTTTTCAACATATTGGTAGCTTTCCTTATTAAGGATTACTGATGGGTTGGATTGCAGAAAGTATTGCGTTAAGATGTTACATGCTTTCTTTCAATAAATGTAAAACCAAACCTGTAAATTAATGCACACACTAGTTAGATAATTTATCCTGCATTAGGTATCTTCAGTATCTAGGATTCTGGGACCATCTGAAAAAAATGTTTTAAAAGCACTTTCCCTTCCCAGCTATCCTTGAACTGTTTGATTGCAATGTGAGATTATATGGCATTATCTTTACGTTGTAAATTAAAATTCATTTTCAGACACATGAAGTCTCATTGGAGGTATCTGCATGATGTGTTCTTCTTGCGTGATAAGTTAACCAGTTGAGCACCTCAGTTGTGCCATCCAAAAAATAGGGTAGTGGCGTAATCTGTCTCTGAAATGTCTGTTATTTATCATACCAAGATTTTGAAGCATTCAGCATATTAATTGGGGGAGGCAGCGGGGGCATGGTTGGTAGTGCTGTAGATTTTGGTAGCTCATAGGGTTGGGTCATCAATTCCTGGGAGGGACATAGAGCAGAGAGTGTGGCACTCGCCTTGGGGGAGGAAGATTGAGAAGTCCGTGAGCACCCTGAGTTGAAATAAAGA